TACCCGGACGGTTTCAACATCACCCTGACGCCTGCCGTCCGTGGAGCGCCCGCAGAGGTTGAAAGTTGCGAGGCCATCGCCCAAATGTGGAACGACATCGGCATCGATGTGGATTTCCAAAAGATACCCTATGGCACGCTTCGACCTACGTTGGTGGGACGGACGTACCAGGGCGCGACCTGCCACGCCGGTGGTGCGTTGCCCACGCCGGCCAACGGTTTTGGCAGCTACCTGACCGAAAATCCCTTCAACCGCGGGCTGGAACACTCCTGGTCCGATGACGCAATGCGTCGCGCCATGGGTGAGGTGGACCCGGCGAAACGGGAAGCGATGGAGCGTGAGCTTGGACAATTCCTGTTCGACAACGCACTAACCGACCTCACCTATTACAATATCGATGCGGTTTGGCCGGTTGGCCCGCGACTCGAACCCTGGACCGAGCACGTCAGGACCAGCGACGTCCGCCAGATCAACGGTTACGAGTTCATCCGCCACCGGCAATAATAGCTCACTGGAATCAAACTCCAATCGCAATCACATGAGGTGAATATGCTCAGTATCCCAAGAAAGTCCGCCACCATGGCCGTTACCCTCTCAGCGCTTCTTCTGCTGCTGACGGTGGTAGTAGCCTGTGGTGGCACGTCACAGAGCGAACAACCGGCCGCGCCCCAGCAGGCGGCGGCACAGACTTCCAATGAGCAGCCTACAGCCGTGCAGCAAGCCTCCTCGCAGTCTGCTCAACCGGCCGCCACTGAGATTCCCGCGGCCGCTCCGATCGCCGCGGCCACCCCTACCCCCGAAACGGCTGACACCATGATGATGGAGGACGCCCCCACCGGTACCCTTACAGTCGGCCAGAAGGAACTGGGCCCCTTCATGGGTCATCCTGCCTTGGCTGGCAACCCCCAGATCTTCGTTCAGGGCACCGCGCCCATCGGCGAATCATTGTTGACGGTTTCCAGCGATCTGAAACCCATCGGCATGTTGGCCAAGGGTTGGAGTGTTTCAGAAGACGGTTCCACGTGGACCTTCAACTTGAACGAGGGCGTCCAGCTTCACAAGGGCTACGGCGAAATGACCGCAGAGGACGTCATCTGGAGCATGCAGCAGTTCGCCGCCGAAGGCTCCAAGCATCCCCGGGCTTCCAACATCCGCGGTATCTGGCAGAACGAGGCCGGACATGCCAAGGCCGTCGATAATTACACCGTCGAGGTCAACACCGGCGAACCGTGGTCCGAAGTGCCCATCCACGAAATCCTGACCAGCCCCGGCGGGTCAGGCACTTGGATCATCAGCAAGAAGCAGACCGACGAGCTTGGCGCCGAAGAAGCCAACACCCAGATCTCGGCCACCGGCCCCTGGGACCTCGTGGAATTCCGCACCAGTGAGTTCTGGCGGATGGAAGCCGTCGAAGACCACTGGCGCAAGACCCCCCACTTCGCCGAGCTCATCTTCCGCGAAATCCCCGAGGAATCCTCTCGCATTGCCGGTTTCCAGACCGGAAATTTGGACACCACCCTCATGGCCTTCGACTCTTTGCCTCTGATCGAAGAAGTTGAAGGTGCGGAAATCATGCGCGTTCCCGGCGGAGGCGAGTCCGCTCTGACCTTCTACGGCCAGTACTACGTCGGTATCGGCACCGAAAACCAGCAGCCGGGCTACGACCCCGAACTGCCTTGGGTTTCCGCCGACCCCGACATTAATTCCGAAGAGTGGAAGAACGCCGCCAAGGTGCGTACCGCGCTGTCCGTCGCCATTGACCGCCAGACCATCGTGGACACCCTGCTTCAGGGTTACGGTTCTCCGGCCGTGCTGTGGGACTTCGGTCAGTACGAAGATTCCTGGCTGCCGCCGGAACTCCGCTGGGAGTTCAATCCGGAACGGTCCAAGCAGCTCCTCGCCGAGGCGGGATATCCTGACGGTTTCAACATCACCTTGACTCCGTCCCTCCGCGGCGCGCCCGTGGAAGTCGAAGCGTGCGAAGCCATCGCCACCATGTGGGCCGACATCGGCATCGACGTCAAGTTCCAGAGCCTGCCCTACACCACCCTGCGCCCGAGCCTGATTGCCCGCAACTACCAGGGTTCCACCTGCCACGCGGGCGGTATCCGGTTGGAACCCGGCCAGGGCTTCTCCGGCATGCTGTCCAAGTTGCACCACCAGGCCGTTTGGAACCGCGGCGTCGAGCATCCCTGGCTCGACGAAAAGGTCTCCGAGCACATGGCGGAGATTGACTCGGAGGCGCGCCGCGAGCTCGCCATCGAGATTGCCACGTTCATGTTCGACAACGCTCTCACCGGCGTTGGCTTGTACAACTTCGACAGCCTCTGGCCGGTTGGTCCCAACATCCAGCCTTGGATCGAGGGCGTCCGTTACCGCGACTTGCGGAACATCAACGGTTACGAGTACATCCAGCACCGGTAATCTTCCGGTACAGCAGGGATACAGTGGGCAGGTAGCTCAAACATGCAATGGAGGAGTGCAGGAATATCGGTCATCGTGCGGTGCGTAGCCGGGCTGCCATTGGCAGCGGTTCTGAGCGTCATCGGCATGGCTATCGCATCGGCGATGTCCGTCTTCTTCGGAGTGTCAGCCCTGTCCACTCTGTTGTTGCTGCTCATGGTCGGCGCCGGCATCGGCGCCGGCATTGGGGCTGGCGTAACCCTGCTGCACGTTGACTCGATCCCGCCGTGGCCTGTTTGGTTGGCAATCGGAATTGTTCTTGCCGCGGTCAGCGGGCTTGGCGCCTGGGTTGGTCTCCAAGTTGGCGAAACGATTACCGCAATCGAAGATGCGAACTGCGTAGGCGTCTGCGGCTACCTGTTCAAACCCAGAACGTATATGGCGTTGGGCGCCACCCTGGTTTCTAACGTCGTGGCTCTGGCCTTCAACATCGGTTACGAAGGACGGTTCGGGCTGTGGCCTCGGCTCGGTTTGGCCAACACCGCCGCAGACCGACCCGGTCAAACCGAAAGCCGCTGATCCTGCCGGCGCTACATGGTAATCGCCGTGCTCCACTAACCTGACGCAACACAGCCAGCCCAACTGCCGCACTTGAAAAGTGTGCGACAATTGGGCTCTAAATCTCAACCTGGACCCAGTACCTGAGGGAGTGTAAACATGCAGCGGTATTTGTTGCGGCGAATCCTGCTCGCGATCCTGACCCTGCTGGCGGTTTCCCTCATCATCTTCGTTATGAGCCGTGCCGCCGGCGACCCCAGGCACGTCTACCTGGACGACTATTCCACCCAGGAAGACTGGGACCGCCTCACCGCCAGCCTCGGCTTGGACAAGCCCTACTACCAGCAGTACGCCATATTCCTGGGCAGCGCGTTGAAAGGGGACTTCGGCAAATCCATCAAGGAGGGGCGCCCCTCCATGGAAGTCATCGTCGAGCGAATCCCCGCCACCCTGCAGTTGGGTCTCGCCGCTTTCATCTTCTCGGTCGTCGTCGGCGTGCCTTTAGGTATCCTCTCCGCCGTGAAACGGGGGACAGTCCTCGACAATGTCGGGAAGATTGTCGCCTTGGTGGGCCAGTCAGCCCCGGTATTTTGGTTAGGCCTCATGCTGGTGTTCCTCTTTGCCGTCCGGCTGGATTGGCTTCCTCCCTACGGCCGCCAGGAGGTCTCCAGCATCGTGTTGCCCGCCGTGGCCCTGGGCTGGTTCTACGCCGCCGCGAACCTACGCCTCCTCAGGTCGGCCATGCTCAACGTCCTCGACTCCGAGTACGTCAAGCTGGCCCGCGCCAAGGGTGTGTCCAATAACGCCGTGATCTGGAAACACTCCCTGCGCAACGCGCTGATCCCGGTGCTGACCTTTGCCGGGATCACCCTGGGTTCCCTCGTGACCGGATCGCTGGTTGTGGAAACGGTGTTCGCCTGGCCCGGCTTGGGTCAACTGGCCATCCAGGCCCTCGCTGGCAACGACTACCCGCTGCTGCAGGCCGTGGTAATCGTGTTCACGTTGATGTACGTGATCGCCGCCCTGTTTGTGGATATCATGTACGCCTATATCGACCCCAGAATCCGGTACTCATAATAACGGGAGCGCATCGTGGCAGCAGAAGCAACACTGGTCGTACAACCGGCGTCGGTTCCGATTCGCATTGCCAAGCGAGCTTGGCAGTTGCGGCGGTGGCCGATCATCCCCATGTTCATCCTCGCGCTGTTCATATTCACCGGTATCTTTGCGCCTCTGATCGCGCCCCATGATCCCGAGCGCGGGTCCCTGCGCGACCGCAATGTGCCGCCAGCCTGGGAAGAGGGCGGGAGTTCCGAGTTCCTGCTGGGCACCGACCACCTGGGCCGGGATATGCTCAGTCGAGTGATCTTCGGCGCGCGCATCTCCCTCACCGTTGCAGTGGTGACTCTCAGCGTCGGCATGGGCATCGGCGTCGCCAGCGGGTTGATCGCTGGTTGGTACGGCGGTTGGGTGGACGAATTCCTGATGCGGATCGTGGACATCAAGCTGGCGATCCCAACAATTCTGCTGGCTCTGGTGCTCGTATTAGCTCTCGGCCAGTCGTTCATGATCATCGTCGCTATCCTGGCCATCGCGGTGTGGCCACGATTCGCCCGTAACGTGCGGGGAGAGGTTTTGCAGCTCAAAACCATGGACTTCGTCGCCCTGGCCAAGGTCGCCGGAGCGTCGACGCCTCGCATCTTGGCTATCCATATCTTCCCGGGCGTTATCAACACCCTGATCGTGTTGGCCACGCTCGAGGTCGGCATCGTCATCCTGCTGGAATCCACCCTCAGCTTCCTCGGGGCAGGCGTACCGCCGCCTACGCCGGCCTGGGGGTCGATGGTGTCTGATGGCCGCGACCGTCTCGCAGTGGCCTGGTGGATTTCCACCATGCCCGGCGTCGCCATTATGATGTCCGTGTTATCCATGAACCTGTTCGGCGACTGGATCCGCGACCGCCTGGACCCCAGGCTCCGCCAACTGAACTGAGCCTCGACACGATAATCACCGCCTCACACCCGCAAGCAGGCTGAATCATGACTACTAGCGCAACCGAAAATACGGCGCCCGTGGTGCTGAAAGTTGATGGACTGAAAACCTACTTCGAGACCCGCTGGGGCACGGTCAAGGCCGTCGATGGTGTCACCTTCGATCTACGGCGCGGCGAGACCCTCGGAATCGTCGGCGAGTCCGGATCGGGCAAATCAGTGACCATGCTATCGCTGATGCGTCTCATACCCGAGCCGCCTGGACGTATCGTTGATGGTCAGATCCTCCTGGAGGGCCAGGACCTGGTGCAGCTGTCCGACAAGGAAATGAGCCAGATCCGGGGGAGCCAGATCGCGCTCATCATCCAGGACCCCATGACCTCCCTCAACCCGGTCTTTTCCATCGGAAACCAGGTGGGAGAAGCGATCAAGATTCACCAGGACATCCCGAAAAGCACTGTCCTTCAGCAGGTGCTCAACGTCCTCCGCAAGGTGAACATCCCCGCCGCCGAGACCCGCGTCCGAGACTACCCGCACCAGATGAGCGGCGGCATGCGACAGCGCGTGGTCGGAGCCATCGGCATTTCCTGCGAACCCATCGTGTTGATCGCCGACGAGCCGACAACCTCACTCGATGTCACCATCCAGGCCCAGTACCTCAAGCTCCTGAAGGAGTTGCAGGAAGCCTCCGACATCGGGCTCATCTTCATCACCCACGACTTTGGGATCGTCGCCAAGATGTGCGACCGGGTGGCCGTGATGTACGCCGGCAGGATCGTCGAGATGGGCGATGTGCGGGACATTTTCAACAACCCTTCCCATCCCTATACGGAGGCGCTCCTCTCCTCGGTCCCCAAGCTTGAGGAGGATGTCGAGCGCCTGTATTCCATTGAAGGACAGCCACCCACGCTTCACGACCTGCCGCAGGGCTGCCCCTTCGCTCCCCGCTGCCAGTACGTGATGGACAAATGCCAGGAAACTTACCCGCTGCGGTTCGACGTTTCCGATAGCCACTACGCGGCCTGCTGGAGGCTGGAATGACCACCTTGGAAGCAAATCCGGCGACCCAAACCACCAACGAAGTCCTGCTCGAGGCCGAGGGCCTCAAAAAATACTTCCCCGTGACCAAGGGTCTCCTGATATCCAAAGTAACCGGATGGATCAAAGCCGTAGACGGCGTTTCCTTCCAAGTCCGCGCCGGTGAAACCTTGGGCATCGTGGGTGAGTCCGGCTGCGGCAAGAGCACCACCGCCAAGATGCTCCTGATGCTTGAAGAGCCCACCGAGGGGACCATCCGGTACCAGGGACAGGAAATTCGCAACGCGAGCTCCGAACAGCGCCGCGCCTACCGGAGCTCGGTTCAGGCCGTATTCCAGGACCCCTGGAGCTCGCTCAACCCCAGGATGCGTGTCCGCGACCTCATCGCCGAACCGATGGTCATCAACCTCAACCTGAGCCGTCGCGAAATGCAGGACCGGGTTACCAAACTGCTCGGCGATGTCGGCCTCAGCAACTACCACGCCAACCTGTACCCTCATGAGTTCAGCGGCGGGCAACGCCAGCGGCTGGCCATCGCCCGGGCCCTGTCGGTCGAGCCCCGGGTCATTGTGTTGGATGAGCCCGTCTCCGCGCTGGACGTCTCAATTCGCGCCCAGATAATGAACCTCCTGAAGGACCTCCAGGAGGAGTACAACGTCAGCTACCTGCTCATCGCCCACCACCTGGCCACGGTGCGGTATATGTGCGACTGGGTCGCCGTCATGTACCTGGGGCAGATCGTCGAGTTCGGGCCCACAAAAGAGCTGTTCCAGAACGCGTCACACCCCTACACCAAGGCCTTGATGAACGCGGCGCTGCCCTCGCATCCGGACATCGAGCAGGAGGAGATGATCCTGACCGGCGAGGTGCCCTCCCCGCTGAATCCGCCCGAGGGTTGCCGGTTCCATCCCCGCTGCCCCTTCGTCATGGAACGTTGCTCCCGCGACATTCCTGAAGTCACCGAGTTGGCTCCGGGCCACGTGGTTTCCTGCCACCTCTACTGAGCCACACCGGTTGCCGCGAACTCCGGCGCGCCGGAGTACGGCCTCCACCCGGCAACAAACGCCGCCCCTTTACAGGGCGGCGTTCACGTTTTTAAGGAAGTCCTCGGCGCCGATCCGCAGCAGGCCCCAGCCCGATACCGTCACGAAGTTCGCACCCAGCTTGATGAACTCGGCGACGCCGGCCGTGTCGGCGGGGTTGTTGCCGCCCACCCCGACGCCCTTCCCACCAGCCCGTACCCGCGGGACCACCTCGCTCATCACCCGCCGCACCTCGGCGACGCCCGGGTTGCCCATGCTCTGGCCCAGGTCCGACGCAGCGACGTGCAGCACGTCCGCTCCGGAAACCGCCAGGATGTCATCCAGGTTCCCCACGGCCTCCACATCCTCCACCATCGGGATCACCAGCACGTTCGAGTTCACCCACGCCGTGGCCTCGTCGCGGGTCACCCCGATGCCGTAGTCCTGCGCACGTCCGCCGCCCATGCCACGGTAGCCATCGGGGTAGTATCGCGCCGCCCGAGCGATGGCCGCGGCCTGCTCGCCCGTGTTCACGTGGGGCACAATGATCCCCTGCAACCCCCGGTCCAAGTATCGCAGGATCGTCTGGTCGGAGTGGTCCGGTATCCGCGCGATCGGCGTGATCCCGAAGGACTCGGCGGCCCGGACCATGTGCTCCACCTGGTCCAGGCCGGCCGGCCCGTGCTCGCAGTCGATCATGACGAAGTCGTAGCCCAGCGCGCCGAAGATCTCCACCATGTCGGGCGCGTAGCGGGTGATGATGGCGCCGAAGACGACCTGGCCATCGTTCAGTTTCGCCTTGGTGGTGTTGGTTCGCATGAATTTGTTCCCCTTCCCGATTGGGTCAGTCGTTAGGTCGTTCTCTGAGCTGCTCTTCCAACTCGCGAATCCGCGACTCGGCGGCGTTGGCCCGAGCTTCTGCTTCGATGCGAGCCGAGCGCTCTTCATCAAATGTGACGATGTGCCGGCCTGTTGCCGGGTCGTGCCATCCTAACTCGCCTTGCTCCCACCGGAGGTACAAGTTCAACACCGCGCTGTAGCCCTGCAATGCCCCGTCGGCCAATTCTTCAATTGCGACGGGCTGATACTCTCCGTCCACCAACCGGTCTCCGGCCAACCGCGCCCCGTGATATTCCCCGGTCTTGTCGAACCGCCAGTACTCGGCGATGCCCAGAGCCGTGTAATCGTCCCGCTTTTCACCCACATCGATGCGCCCGGTGCTCACCGACGCTACCTCCATCACGAAGTCAGGTGGCTTGCCCTGCTCCGAAATTATGTAGCCGTTGTTGGCCTCGTACATCTCCGGGTCCACTCCGAATGCTATTAGCAGGTCTGGCACTCGCCGTCGCCTGGAGCCATAGCCCGGATGGGGAACAATCCAGCGATCCGCCTCCACCAGCGTCGTTTCAGGGTTGCCGAAGTGACGGGCCAGGTGGTGCGAGTTGCCCGTCTTGTGCAGATGATCGTAATTGGTCAACTCGTCGGGCTCGCGCGGCGGTGGGTCCGGCAGTCGGAAATGGCTTTGGGGTCTGGGCGCTTTGGCGAACGCATCGGCGGTAGTCATGCTGAACCTCTGGGGGTTAGCGTGTGCGGCAGGTTGGTTGCCGGAGAGGCTATGCGCCAGATTATAACCGGGTCGAGTTTATCCAGCGCAGCACATCCTGGCCGGCCGCGGCGCACTGCCATTACCCCGGCTTGGTCGTCAGGGTTGTCATCATGTCCTGATAACTACAGCGCCCCGTCGATCACCATGTCCAGCAGGGCCGGCTTGCCCGACGCCACCGCCCGTTCGACCGCCGGCTTGATCTCCGCCGGATCCGTGATCCTCTCCCCGTGCACGCCCATGCTGTTGGCGATGGCGGCCATGTCGAAGGGGGTCCCAAAGTCCGAGTACAGCAACCGCCCGCCGGACGTCTCCGGCAACTCCAGCACGTCCCGCTGGTACACGTTGAAATTCACCTTGAGCACCCGGTACGCCCCGTTGTTGCAGATGACGAAAACGCACGGGATGTTGTCGTTGGCCGCGGTCCACAATCCCTGCACGGTCATCATCGCGCTGCCATCGCCGATGATGCCGAAAACCGGACGGTCGGGGTTGGCGCACTGCGTTCCCATGGTCGTGCCCATGCCGCCGCCGATGGACTGTCCCCGGTAGCCTCTCAGATCGCCCCGGCGTTCCGCCTGGAAGTAGTGCCGCATCGTGCCGCGGTTGCTGATCGAATCGTCCACGACGATGGCGTTGTCGGGAACCGCTGCGGCCAGTTCCGCCATCATGCGAGCCGGCGTCATGGGTTTGTGGTCCCACTTTTCGGCGACAGATTCCTCGAACGCCCGACGGTTGTCCCGCTTCTCAGCAGCCGTGACGCGCTTGCGTTCTTCGATCTCCGCGCGGTCGCCCGGGGACAGCCGTTCCCTGAGCGCCGTGATCAGGTCCTCCAGCGCCAGCCCGCAATGTCCCACAATGCCCACGTCCGTCGGCTCCGACCGGCCGATGCGGCTCCGGTCCGGATCGATGTGGATTAGCCTGGCCTCGGCCGGCAGGATCACGTCGCCCCAGTAGAACAGTTCCTCGAAGGGATCCGAGCCCACCGCCAGCACCACGTCGACGGTCTGCAAAATGGCCCGCTGCTCGCTGACCCGCAGCGACAACGCCCCCAGGAACTGTTCGTGCGTGGTGGGGAAGGACACCTCGGCTCCCCGCGCCTGGTATACCGGCAGTCCCATGAGCTCGGCCAGTTCCACTGCCTGGTCCACCGCGCCGTCGTCGGACAGGCGGTCGCCCACCAGCATGATCGGCCGGCTGGCGTCCATCAGCAGGGACGCGGCTTGGGAGATGCCCTCCGCGCTGGGTCGGGGCGCGTCGTACACCGGCCGCGACGGTTCGATGTTCATCTCCGCCATGCCCTCCAACGCATTGGAGGTGAAGCCCACGTACACTGGCCCCTTGGGGTGGCTGTTGGCCTCGTTGAACGCCCGGCGGATCGCGCTGGGGATCTGGTCCGCATGGGTCAGTTGCACCGACCACTTGGTGACCGGCCGCACCAGCTCCGCCAGATCGGTCATGGTCTCGTTCACCTTGCGGATGTCGTAGTTGGCGGAGGTCACCACCATTGGCGTGCCGGTGTTCAGGGCGTCCAGCATCAAGGCGATCCCGTTGGCCAATCCGCTGTCCACGTGGAGACTGACGAAGGACGCCGTGCCCGTGGCCCGGGCGTAGGCCTCGCCCATCCCGACCGCCACGCTCTCCTGCAGCGTCAGGATGTAGCGCAACTCGGGGTAATCGCCCAGCAGGTCGATGATCGGCCCCTCGCTGGTTCCTGGGTTTCCGAATATGTACTCAACGCCTTCGGCCTTGAGCATCTCCAGCAGGGCTTGTTTGCCGGTCATCAGTTGGGACATGGGCTCCTCCGTCAACGTGCCGCCCCTACTGGGAGCGGCGAATGTTTGCGTGCGCCCGCCAATTCTACAACAAACCACCCAGCGCCACTCCTGCCCTGCGTCCACCGCCCAAGGTCATTCGATCTTCCCAAATGCCATTGCGAGCGATTTTCCCAACTGTCATTTGTATGTTGCGATCACCCCGCGAATGGGCCAATTTGTGGGGTAATGGGAGGGGCGCGTCGTCTGTCATTGGGTGAGCCGGGTCTACGGCCTGGACCGCACCGTCTCGCAGTAGGACACCCCTCCCGGAAGGCGCTGGTCTGCTCCGAACGGATACCCGGGTGTGTCGCCCCGCAATGCAAGTGTGGAGGGTCCCAGCGCCGCCATTATCATACCAGCACCAACGGAGGCGACGGAAAGATGAGCCGAGCAATGGCCGGGATAGACGTGGGCAAAGGGGAACTGGACGTGTCGGTGGACGGGGAACGGGCGCGACGATTTGCCAACACCGCGGGCGGGGTTGGGGAGTTGCTGGACTGGTTGCAGCCCCGAGGCGAGGTGCTGGCGGTTTGTGAAGCGACGGGCGGTTACGAACGCCTGGTGGTGGCAGGGTTGCGCGAGGGTGGAGTGGCGGTGCCTGTCGCCCATCCCAACCGGGTGCGGGCCGATGCGCGGGCCGGTGGCTACGCGGCGAAGACCGACGGGTTGGACGCCGTGGTGCTGTCCCGGTATGGGGAGGCATTCCAACCGCCAGCGACGTTGGCCCAGGACGCGGATCGCATCCGGTTGCAGGACCTGCTGCGCCGGCGGGAGCAGTTGGTGGGTCAACGGACCCAGGAGAAGAACCGGCTGGCCCGGGTACACAACCCGGCAAGCCAGGACTCCATACGCCGGCACATCGCGTGGCTGGATGAGGAGATCGGGCTGCTGGGATGAGCAATGCCAGGAACTGCTGAAGCAGAACGCGGAGTTTCAGCGCCAGGTTGAGTGGTATCGCAGCGTGCCGGGAGTGGGTATCCAGACCGCAGCGGCGGTGGTGGCCTGGTTGCCGGAGTTGGGCCAGTGCGAGAGCAATGTCCTGGCCGCGCTGTGCGGCGTCGCGCCGTGGTCACGGGACAGCGGTCAGCAGCGGGGATACCGGTCCACCCGTGGCGGACGTCGGCCGGTGCGTCGGGTGCGGTACGTGGCCAGCATGGTGGCAGCGCGCAACCACGACGAGTTGGGAGACTTCTACCGTCGGCTGCGTCAGCGGGGCAAGCCGGGCAAAGTGGCGCTGGTGGCGGTGATGCGGAAGCTGCTGTGGCTACTGAACGCCGTGGCCCGCCGCGGCACCCCGTGGACCCCCACAATTCCAACAACCAACCTGAACCCCGCTTGACACACAACACAGATACTGCGAGCGCAGCGTGGCAATCCCGTCGCCATAGCACGGGTAATCGCCGGCAGCGGTCGCATCCACCCGCAACTGGGGCGTCGCATTTCCTCCCAGGTTGTCTCAATTTAGATTGCGTGTCCAGTTGATCGGCTTGTTGACGCGCTCCCCACCGTGTCATATAATATCAAATATAACTATACTATATATTGTAAATATCAATACTACGTCAACCCGTCGGTTTCTGCCGACAGATAACTACAGGAGGAGATCATGGTACCGGCCAATAATAGAGCCCAGAAAGTGAACCACGAGAACGGCCCCAGGCAGGTCAACCTGCGATTGATAGTGATGCTGGCGGTGGTGCTGGCCCTGGGAGTAGTCGCGATTGCTGCCATCAGGATCCAGCACGTCAGCGCCCATGCTGACACTCCTGACAGCCCGACCGGGCGGGAAAGTCGCGAAGTGACGGGCGGACAGGCGTCCGAAACCGTCTTCGCATCAGTGTACGTGTGGGCCGCCAGAATGACAGTCGGGGAGGCGACCGACTCGGAGGTCACCCGTTTGGGCTATGTGCCAGACGCGACTGAGCCGAACAGCCAGGGAAGTTTGGAAAACAATACGTTCAGCTATGTCGGGGTGGACTACACGGCGCAGGCGTTGTTTTACCAACGGATGACTGGCGGTGACCAGCAGTTGGTTTTCAAAACGGACAAACCCCTGCCAGAACACCTCGTGCTGCACGTCGGCTCCGACCACTTCTTCGTGTGCGAAACGGACGCCCCAAGATCGGAAGGCGGTGCACACGTCTGGACCCTCGACCAGGATCTGGGCTGGACCGAAGGTCGAACTACGTACGCGGCATTGCTGGAGCCTACGAAGCCGCAGATCGAGCAGGGGCAGGTATGCCCGGGGACGGTTACACTCCCATCGGACAATCAGGACTGACCCCGTCGCGCATCAGGCCCGAGTGCGGCGACGCCGCAAGGGCCAGCGGCACGGGATGCCGCTGGCCCTTGTCGCGTTAAGTATGGTCGCCGAAGCCTTTCGCTGGCGGCGAAATCCGCGCCTGCAATCCGCCCTCGGGTCGACCACGCCGTACGCTTTGCCACGCGAACCGAGAGTCCGTCGAGCGTTCCAAAGGGTTACCGGTTGGCCGATACCCCTACTGTGGCTTCGATAGCCTGCTCCCATTCGTCCAGGTCGAAAAAGTGGGGCCCGGCTCCGCCGTGATAGGCCACCCGGCCGTCAAAGTCCACCAGGTACAGGCGTTCTGGAGCAGCGCCGTAGGCTTCGTCAATGGCATTGTCCATTTCCTCAACGATCACCGGCAGTCCGATGTGCAGGTCAACACTGCAAGATTGGGCCGCTGACTCACGTTCGGTATAGCTCCGGTGCTGGCGGAAAAGCACGCCTTCCTCGATGTTGCTGTCCGTCTGCCACCCATCGGTGGGATGGGCCTCCTGGACGTAGACGACGAAGAACTCGACCTCATCACTGAAACGCCGATAGAGTTCGGTCATGCGCTCAGACTGGGCGCGGAAGGGTGGTCAAGTGTAGCTGCCAAAGGCCAGGGCCACCGGTCGCCGGCCCCGAAAATCGGACAGCCGCACCCGCTCCTCGGAACCCAATCGCTTGAGAGAAAAGTCAGGCGCCGCCTCTCCAACCCGGGGACCGGTTTCGTCGCGGACCAGGATGGCTTCCAAGGCGGTGCGAACGTCCGCAGTCGATCCCTCTTGCCAATCTTCCAGCAACTCACGCGCGGTAACTCGTCCCCCCGTTGGATGGAAGATCGGGGCTGCTTCCCCTGGATTCCTTGATCGCGGCGACAACTCGCCGGAGATCATGCCGGTCCTCGCTGCTCAGGCGGCTGATCACCTTGTCGCGCTGCACTTTTAGCATGGTTGCCTCCACCCTTTTTGCCGGCCGAATCGCCCGCGTCATCTACGGGCGGTCCGTAGTTGCAATGGCTCAGACAGTGTGCTGACTGTTACCGCCGACTCCAACTGCGGCTACGATACCATTGGGTGATTTTGCAGTCCATCGGCCGCCGCGCGTTGACCAGGGTTGCTACTTGGGTTACGGCGTCGGGATTGCCGCGCTGCGCTCGCAATGACATTTGGGTGGCTCGCGATGGCAGAGGGATCTCTGGCGATGACAGGGGTGGATGGTGTCAACGGATGGGGAAGCAAGGGCAGCGGATGGGGTGGTCTTCGGTTCCGCTGGGGACGTGGAGGCCCAAGGGCGCGACGGTACTGGCCCATGGTGGTCATGGGTGGGGGCTGAGGCTCGCGCCGGGAGGGGAGCTTGCCGGCTGCCCGCAGGGCCCGGAAGTCCGCGAGGCTGAGCGGGTTGGGATCCAGGGCTATGGCCAGCGCCACTGCCTGATGTAGGCGCTGGACGCGACGACGGGCGCGGCGCAACAGGGCGCGGATGGCGGTGACGTCGCCATTGGCCTCGGCCTCGGCAAGCATCGCGGGCAGGCGGTAAACCTCCCGGAAGGTGCGCAGGTGTCGATAGTCGGATCTGGCAGCCGCGCACGAAGCCGCCCAGCACCGTGGTCATACGGCGCCAGCTGTAGCTGTCCTGATGCGTGTGGACAGCGGCGGCGGTGGCGACATGGCTGGCCGCGCGGTGAATGGCGCGGGCGGCGCGGTGGTAGTCGCCGGCCCGGACGTCACCGGTGATATAGCCGAGATAGAGTTGACTGCGGTCCAGGTGGTGGGCTGCGTTCAAGGGCGCCGGCTCCTATGAGGGTTGGTGGGGGGTTGTTTGCGGGTTGTTGGGTTGGTGATCGGTGGTTGCTGCCTCGCTACTGGTTGGTTCGGTTATTTGGATGGTTCAGCGTTGCCAGAGGGTTCAGGGTCGGTGTCAGCCCCGCGGCCGGGGGTTACGCAAGGATTTTTAACCACTGAAATCGTGGACGACCCGAGGGTCGTGCAGCACGCAGCGAGTGGATTATCGCTGTGTCACCGAGATGACCACGCCGCTGAGAAACGGGCGGGCGATGGTCGTCGGGACAGGGTTTGCGATTTGGGTTCTGACGGGTTGGCCGCGAACGACCCTTCGGACCTCTGGCGGTTGCTGATATTTCACGTGACGGGGATAGTATAGGAACTAATGTTCGTTGTTGTCAAGCAGGGATGTCAGTCGCGCGTGGCCGGCCTGCGATTGCGGCGGCGTCGGGATTGCCACGCTGCGCTCGCAATGACAATTGGGTGGCTGGCGGTGGCATTTGGGTGGCTCGCGATGACGTTCGAGCTTCGGGGCGTGACGTTGAGGTTTTGGGGGGATGATGTTGAGGAGAACCGAATGACCCGGCATGAGAAACCCCGCTGATTGACGCCTGTCGCCCCCTGCGGTATCGTTAGTCCCGTTTACGCAAACGATATTGGGAGTGTCCCATTATGGCCGAACAAGAACTGCCTCTATTCGATTACAACGAAGTTCAGGTTGGCGAGGAACTCGGCTCCTACGAGTACCTGCTGACCCAGGAAATGGTGGACATTTACCGCCGCGCCGTGGACGATCCCGACGCGGTTTTCCCCACCATCGCCGTCAAGCATGACGCAACTTCCCTTGCGCTGGCCTATGACGACCAGACCGGCAGCATCAACGCGGGAAACGAGATTGACCTCTACAACCCGCCGATTCCCCGGCAAGACTATCCGTGTCACCGGCCGGATCCATAACAAGTTCATCCGGCGGGAGAAGCCTTATCTCGTGATCGAGGCCACGGCCACCGACGAGGACGGGCGGCTCATCGAGAAGATGCGCACCTACCAGATCAAGAAACCCGAGGAGTTGGGCAAAAAATGGCATCCCCAAGGCTAGACAGCGAAACCCTCCCCATCGTCACCAAGCACATCACCCAGGACGTCATCAACCAGTTCGAGGCCTGCGGGATCCTCAACCGGGCCAACATCCACAACGACCCTGAACTGGCGTCCAAGCGCCTCGGGACCACCTACGCCATCGCCTCCGGCCGCATGAGCATCGCCTTCTGCACCGAGGCCATGCGCAAGTTCATCGGCGCCGATCACTTCCATCGTTCCGGCAACGTCAACCTGAAGTTCCTGCGCCCGGTGAAGCACGGCGACACCGTCAGCGTCCACGGCCAGGTTAACAGCCGCGAGGCGCAGGACGACGGTTCCACCCTGATTACGGTGGACGTCTACTGCGAAAACCAGAACGGCGACAAGACCGCGGTCGGACAGGCCAGCGCCCGCGTGTAAACGCGGATCCGACTCCTTCCGTTGGTCCCGAGAAAGCACGATGACAACAGTTATCGATTACAACTCTGAACAGAGTTGGCATTTCCTCGATTTGGTGGACGATGAGGTTGAGCGCGGCGAGTTGGAAGAGGCCAGCAACAAGTTGTGGGGCGCTGCCGCCCATGCCATCGAAACCGTCGCCGAACGCAGAGGTTGGGCCCATGGCTCGCATAGCGATTTAGTGGACACCGTGCTGCGTTTGATCGATGATGAAGGCGCTCCGCCGCTGTTGTACACTTACTACGGATTGGCAAACTGGTTTCACTCGCGGTTCTACGGTTGGCCACCCAACGGCGATGAAATCCGCCATGGAAAAGGGGAAATGGCCGACTTCATCCGCCTGCTGGAAGGCCTGTGATACTGATTCGGGCACTGACCGGATTGGCAACCAAATCGCACGCGAATAGCATTCGAAGATTGGAGCAATCAACATGACAATGACTCGATCTGAGTTTGGTAAGGTAGAAGTCGACATCGTTTACTGCGTGCCTTGAGGCTACCACGGCCTCGCCACGTGGCTGGCGACCGAATTTTGGCGTTCCCAGAACGCCGGCGATATTGCGCTCAAGCTGACCCCTGCCGACAAGGGCCGCTTGGAGATATACCTGGACGGCGAGAAGATCTTTGACCGCTTCGACGAAGAGGGTGACGAGTACCCGGGCTACACCAAGGTCAACGAGCTCAAGATGGTGGTCGCCGAACGCGTCTTCGACGTTGAAGACGAAATCACCGCAGCGAGAAACGCTTAGATGGCTAATCCCGATCACGTAGCCGCCGTCTCCGCCGGCAAATCCGCCCTTGAGGAGTGGCGTGCTGCCAATCCCGGTCAGCAGCTCGATCTGCGCGCTGCCGACCTTTCGGGACGGGATCTGGCGGGTGTCGACCTCCGCGATGCCGACCTCCGCGGCGCCTCACTGGCTGACTGCCGCCTCACCCGGGCCAACCTGTCGCGTTGCGACCTCCGCTCCGCCGACCTGACCGGGTCCGACCTATACGGCGCAAGCCTGGCCTCCGCGCAGATGGCGACCACCATCCTACGGAACACCAACCTCTTCTGGGCCGACCTCAAGCAGGCAAACATGCACGAGGCCGTGCTGCAATGGTCACGCCTCAACCGGGCTTCGTTCCTCAACACCGACCTCACTGACGCCGACTGCAGCCAGGTCACTGCCATCGAGGTTGACCTGCGTTCCGCCAACCTGACCAACTCAAACTGGCAGGGCGCGAACCTGAACGGAGCCGACGTGAGCCGCGCCATCATGCTGGGAGCGGATTTCACCGCCGCCAAGATCCGCGACTCGATGTGGATTATGACCGACCTGCGGGGAGCGAACTTCAACGGCGCGAGTCTGCACCGCTGTGACATGACCATGGGCAAATGGGACGACACCACCAACTTCCCGCCCGGCTTCGACCCCAACTTCATCGAGAACCGGGTGGATGACTACTGAGCCTTCCCGGCAATCTGGTGCAGGTGGGGCATTAACCATGATAAGCATTGACCCAGCCGTTGCTGCGGCATCAATCAGCTTCGTCACCCTGCTCGCGCTCATCGGCGGCGGGTTTTTCTGGTTGGGCAAGCTCAGCAACCGGGTCGGCCAACTGGAACACCGGGTTGACCAATTGGCTGATGAGATGCGTGAGTTGCGTGAAGAGATGCGTCAGCAGCGGAACGAGTTGCGTGAAGAGATGCATGAGTTGCGTGAAGAGATGCGTCAACAGCGGAACGAGTTGCTCGAAGAAATGCGTCGCGGCAACCAACAGCTCTTGCTTGCCCTGGCCAACCATTCCCACGACGCGGACAGCCAACCCAGCTTCCGCGTGCCGGTCAACCCCGAATAGGCGCAGGCCATAGTCTTCCCCCGATATTCTATGTCTATCCTACTGGTAGCGTCCCATCAGCCCGGCGCCGGCAAGACGTCCGTCGCCGCAGGTCTGTCTACCCTCATTACAAGATCTGGCGCCAGGGCTTCCGTGTGCAAGCCGTTGTCGCCGGCCGGGCGCACCGATCCAGACGCGGTCTACTTCGCCGAACAATTCCGCGGCGCGACCGCCGTTGTCTCTTCTGAAGACGACGCCGGCCTGGACGCCGCCGCCAGCGCCGTGCGTTCCCTAACCGGCATCAGCGAGCACGTGGTCGTCGAGGTCGCGAACCCCGCCGCCGGTTCCGGCGCGGCGTCGGCCATCGTCTCCGGTTTGGCCGAGCGACTCTCCGCTCGCGTGGTGGCCATATTCGGGTACGAACCGGACCTGTCGTCGGTGAGCGTGTCCAGCGCGGTGGCCACCCTTGGATCCCTACTTGCCGGCTTGATCGTCAATCAGACGCCCCGCTACCGGGCCCAGCGCGTGGCGACCCTGCTCTCCGAACTGTCTACCGCCGGCTTACCGGTAGTTGGCGCCCTGCCGGAAGACCGCACCATGCTTTCGCTGAATCTGGATCAGTTGGAGTCCAGCCTCGGCGGGCGCTGGGAATTGGAGCCGGCGGATGGCGAGGCATGGATCGACCGTTTCCTCATCGGCGGGAACATCATGGACTCCGCCGCCGGCTACTTCGGGCGATATGACCACCAGGCGGTGATTACTCGCGCCGAACGCCCTGATATCCAGCTGGCATCCTTGATGCAGGACACCCGTTGCCTGGTGCTTACCGGCGGCTCGCGACCCACCGAATACATCCGGGTCGAAGCGGCCAAGCGCAACGTGCCGGTGCTCCTCGTGGACCAGGGCACCGTCGCCACTGCGGACGCCGTGGGCGAGTTGCTGGAGGTGGTCGTGCCCCACAACGTCCACAAGGCCGAGCGCATGGCGGATCTGCTGGACGGCCGAGTGGATCTGGCGGAGCTGTTGTCGTAAGGACGGGTGGCAAAACCCGCCCCGGTTTTAGTCAGTCCTGCATTTCGAAGCGCTCGGACTCCGGCGGTCGGGACCACAGTTCTTCGGCGCCGGCCATCGCAACCGCCCGCTCGGGGCTGGCGCGCCACGCGTCATAAATCTCGTTGCTCTCCCAGGTGACCAGGGTCGAGATCTTGGTGGGGTCGCCCAGCGAGACAAAGGTATGTCGCGCGTGGAATCCGGGAGCGCGGCTCTGCGCCTCACCGTTCCCGTCGAGCAGCACCTTGGCCTCCTCGACCTTGTCATCTTTGGCCCAGTGGTGGGTCAATACTCCTATCTGTGCCATTGTTGCGCCCTCCTCGACAAGTTGGATTTGTTGGCTGATTGGACGGAATGTGGGAGTTTATTCGGGGGCCAGCGTTAAAGGCGGATCCAGGGCAATATCAACCTGGGCCTCAGGCCTTCCTGGCGCACGTGCAGCAGCTTACCCAGCACCAACGCCACCAACGCCGCGCCGATGCTGAGCACCGCACCCATCTTCCCAGGCTCCTGGAAGGGTGAATCCCCCGGGAACGCCTTGCCGGCGACGAACAGCGCCACTGTCAGGCCGAGGCCCGCAATGACGCCCGTTACCACCAGGTGCCGGACACCCATGCCCGGCGGCAACGGGAAACCAACCAGCGACGCCACCCAGGAAAACAGCGTCACCCCGATGGCCTTGCCCACGATCAATGACACCAGGACCATCATTGTGACCCACCCGATGCTGGTGAAGGCCACGCCGGCGTTGGCAAACGCAAAGAAGAACAACCCGAAGTCCACGAACAGCTTCAGCTGGTGCTCAAACTGCTCCAGCACGCTGTGTGCCCCGTGGTCGGTTGTGTGAGGGTGCGGCGCGGCGTCCGAAGCATGCGTGTGCGCCTCGTCGGTGGGTTCGCCGCCGCCGTGGTTGCCATGTGGCATGAACGGCACGATCGGGGCCAGAGCCAGGGCCGGCTCCACCCCACCCTTCGCCAAGCCAATCCACGAAAGCGTCCCGCCCACCAGGATGTACACGGGCCACCACCGGACGTGGAAACGGCGCAAGCCGTAGGCTGCCGCCATGCCGGCGACAACGAGGAGTAGCCAGATGGGCTGCACCGGATGGAGCGCGTCCGGATAGAAAACGGCGATGATGACCAGTCCGATGGCGTCGTCCGCCACCGCCAGCAGCAGCAGAAAGTTGACGGCCGGATGCAGCGGCCCGAACACCACCCGCGCGACAAGCCACGCCAGCGCGATGTCGGTGGCCGTCGGGATGGCCCAACCTTTGGCGACGGCGCTGAAATCACTCGTGTCCCCGTAGAAGAACCACGCCATCAAGAAGTACAGCCCAACGGGGCCGAAAACGCCTCCGAGAGTTCCGGCCAGCGGATTGATTGCTCGCCGTACCGGGTTGAGCACTCCGCCGGGCAGCGTCGATTCCGTGATCTCCTTGGCCGCAATGCCAAAGAAAAGGCACATGAACATCCCATTGATGATGAAATGGAGGGTCAGTTCATGACCAAAGACCCCGGTGTGCCCGCCGAAGGGATTGAACTCCACCACCACCTCGTACCAGTGGTGGTCGACGTTGGCCACAATCAGGCCCAGCACGACACCGAGAATCAGCGGCACGGAAAACTCTTGAATAAAGTTGGTCACGCGCACGATGGGGCGCGCTTGAACGGCGACAGGGAAGTGCATTACGGAACCACGGGCGAGAGGGCTAGCGACAAATTTACCGGCGGCAATTTTACCATCAAATTCCTCTCGCACCGTGAGCGAACGTCCGCGTCGAGCCAGCGTGGCGTATGGGACGCCGCAAGTGGCGCGACGCACCTACGCTCAAACCCGTATCAGGTTGACAACGCTGGCCGCCCCGCACAGAATTGCGGCACCCTGATCCGACGAGCCGTCCGGCTTTTTGGCGCTCTCCCATGCGAGGTGCATTGTGGCAGATTTGAACGACGCTGATATCCAGGCGCTGGCCAAAGCCTCGGATATACCCATTCCGGCCGATTTGGCGCCCGAGGTGCGCGAATCGTTGAACGGCTTGCTGGAGGCCCTGGCATCCATCACCGAGCCCGACGTCGCCAACATCGAGCCGCTGCCGATCATCGTGTCGGCCACGGCGCGCAAACAGGAGGGGCCATAATGACAGACGCAAACCTTTGCTACCTCTCCGCCACCGAGCTGGGGCAGCGCATTGCGGCCGGCGAGGTTTCGTCGCTGGATGCCACCGAGGCCTACCTGGAACGCATCGCCAGCCTGGACGGCAACTACGCCTCATTCATCACGGTGACCGCGGATCGGGCTCGCGAAGACGCCCGCCGTGCTGACGCCGAGATCGCGGCCGGCAACCGCCGCGGACCGCTCCACGGCGTCCCGGTCGCCGTCAAGGACCAGTTCGACACCGCCGGCATCATCACCACCAACGGCTCCACCATCCTCGCGGAGAACGTGCCGGGCGAGGATGCCACCATAATGACCCGGCTGAAAGCTGCGGGTACGGTTCTGCTGGGCAAGCTCAACATGAGCGAGTACGCCAGCGGCGACGCCTTTCGCCACCCTTATGGTCGTCCCCGCAACCCGTGGGATACCGGTCGCAATCCCGGCACCTCCAGCAGCGGTTCGGGCGCGGCCACGGCCGCGTTCCTGTGCGCCACTTCACTGGGCGAGGACACCGGCGGCAGCATCCGGGGACCCGCGGCGTTCTGTGGCCTGGTGGGCATCCGACCCACCTTCGGCCTGGTCAGCCGGCACGGCGTGTTCGGGGCCAGTTGGTCCATGGACACGGCGGGCCCGATCTCGCGTACCGTCACCGATTGCGCCAACACTCTCGAGGCCATCGCCGGCCACGATCCCAAGGATTCGCAGACCTGGGACGTCACGGTCCCAAATTACTCCGCCGCGCTGGACGGCGACATCAATGGACTGAAGGTCGGTCTGGTGTCCGAACGGGTCCACACCGACGCCAACGACCCCGAGGTCCGCGACGCGATGATCGCGGCCGCCGGCGTGCTGGCGGGATTGGGCGCGGACGTCACTGAGGTCTCGATACCCCTGATTGTCCATTCCTCGGAAATATCCTACGGGATCATCAGCAACGACGCGGCCATGCTGAACTGGGACATCATCTCCACCGACCGCCTGCGGGAGCTGGACCACAACAACCAAGTGCGCCTGCTCATGGGCGCCATCCTTCCGGCCAAGGCCTACCAGAAATCCGCCAGGCTGCGCGATGTGCTTCGTCGCCAGATACTGACCGCGCTGGATGACGTGGACGTACTACTCATGCCGGCCTCGTCAGTTCCCGCCACGCTGATACCTGAAACCACCGGCCTGGGCACCAAGGCGGATGTCATCGCCGGCTTCAAGGGCCGACGCGGGTTCACGGCGCCATTCAATCTGGCGAACCTGCCGGCGCTGTCCATCAACTGCGGGTTCACGGCATCCGGCCTGCCCATCGGGCTGCAAATGGCCGGCAAGGCCTTCGACGAGACCACGTTGTTCCGCGCCGCCTACGCCTACGAGCAGGCGACGGACTGGGGAGAGCGCCGGCCGCCCGGCGTATAATCGAAAAATCCCCTTTGAGTTGTTGTTCCGATGCTCGTTAGAGATCACACTCAGACCGCGCAGGAATTCTTGGCTGCCTCCGACCGCGAGTTCGCGGTTGGAGAAACCTTGCAAGCCTCGGAGAAACTCTGGGGCGCGGCGGCCCACGCAATAATGGCGGTGGCCCAGCAACGGGAACTGGAACACGGCACCCATCGTGCGTTGATAAATGCCGGGCGGCAAATCGCCGACGAAACCGACAACGACCAACTGCGTTTGGGAATACTCGCTGCGCAGCACTTCCACTCGAATTTCTACAACGGCACGATGGAGGACGAAGACATCGAGTACGACCGACCGTTGGTTCATCGCTTCGTTACCCTGATGCTGACCCTCGTGGAATAAGTGAGGTTTCCCCCATGCCCAGCCCCAACGAACTTACCGCGGCGCAGGCGGCGCGCGCCATCGCCCGCCGCGAACTCACTGCCGTCGAACTCGCGGAGGCGTGTCTCAATCGCATTGAGGCGTTGGACGCGCGTCTGCTGGCTTGGGTATACGTCGATCGCGAAACGGTGCTCGCCGACGCCCGTCTGGCCGACGCCGCCGTCGCGGAACAGCGGCCGCTGGGCCCGCTGCACGGCGTTCCCATAGGGGTCAAGGACATCTATTACACCGCAGGCATCCCGACCAGGGCGGGCAGCGAGGTCTACAAGGATTTCGTGCCCGACTTCGATGCCACGTCGCTCACGCTGCTCAAGAAGGCCGGAGGGGTCATGTTGGGCAAAGCCGTGACCACCGAGTTCGCGTGCCTGGATCCTTCTCCTACCTACAATCCCTGGAACCCCGCTCACACGCCAGGCGGCAGCAGCAGCGGATCCGCGGTGGCAGTCGCCTCCCGCATGTGTCCGGCCGCTTTGGGCTCGCAGACGGTGGGCTCGGTTCTGCGCCCGGCCGCGTACAACGGCGTGGTGGGTTTCAAGCCAACCTTCGGCCGCGTCAGCCGGCATGGGGTGGTGCCGGTGAGCTGGAACCTGGACACCGTCGGCTGGCTGGTGCGTACCGTGGAAGACGCCGCGCTACTGCTGCAGGTAATGGCCGGCCCGGATGTGGCCGATCCCGTATCCTCCAGGGAACCGGTGGGCAACTATCTGTCCGCCATCGTTGAGCCGCCGGCTCCGCGCATCGGGCTGTTGCGCCGCTACTTTTACGAGGGTGCGGATACCGAAAGCCGCCGGCACCTGGACGCGGTGGCCGAACAGCTGGCGGAGGCCGGAGCGGAGATCGAGGAGATACCACTGGCGGAGAGCATCGAATCGGCTTTCGCGGACCAGCGGCTGATCATGTCGGTGGAGGCGGCGGCCTTCCACGAGCCGATGTACCGGAGACAGGCCGAGGACTACCAGCCCAAGCTGCGGACCATGTTGGCCGAAGGCCTGGAAGTGGACGGGATTGACTATTCCCGCGCCCTGGAACGCCGGCGGCAATTCACCACGGATATGGAGGAGGCAGCCCGGCGCTGCGACGTGCTGCTCACGCCGGCCGCGCCATCGCCTCCGCAGGCTGACCGCACCAACACGGGAGACCCAGCATTCCAGGGCCCGTGGACCTCGTGCGGCTTCCCGGCCATCGCACTGCCGTCGGGGTTGGCCGAATCGGGAGTGCCATTGGGCGTCCAACTGGTGGCGTCTCCTTTTGCGGAAGCGCGGCTCTTGTCCGCCGCCGCATGGTGCGAGGGAGCGCTGGGGGTATCGCTGAACCCGCCGCTGTAAGTGCGGCTGAAAGAGTGCCAGAGCGACCGGTATCGCGCACACCGGGCTGGCGACACCGTTGACACGGCACAGTCGCCTGCCGATAATCAAACCCAATATGCAATTTGACGTTCGACTATTCGCCCTCTACCGGGAGCGGGCCGGGTCCGCGGTGGTAACCGTGGATGTGCCGGAGGATGCCACGGTGGGTGTGCTCACCGACACGGTGCGAGCCATGCACCCGCGCCTGGCTCCGCCTGAGGTCCGTATCGTGGTGGCGGTGAACGCCGAATACGCGGACGATGACCAAGCCCTGAACCCTGGCGACGAGGTTTGCCTGATCCCCCCGGTTAGCGGAGGTCGCTGAGCCATGATTATCCTGACTGCTGAAACCCTGGATCCGGTGGCCGTAACCGACTCCGTGCGCAAGGACGGCAACGGCGCCGTCGTCACCTTCCTGGGTACCACCCGGGACAACTTCGGCGGCAAGACCGTCACTCGGCTGGAGTACGAAGCCTACGACGTGATGGCGATCAAAAAGCTTGAGGAAGTTCGGGAAAGCCTCTGCGCTGACTACGGCATTGAGGATATCGCCATCGCGCACCGCACCGGACGAGTGGATGTGGGCCAGATCAGCCTGGTGGTGGCCGTTGCGTCGCCGCACCGGATCAAGGCTTTCGAGGCCTGCCATGAGGCGGTGAACCGGATCAAGACCATCGTACCCATCTGGAAAAAAGAATGGTTCGCCGACGGTTCCCGTTGGGTGGCGTGCGAAGACCACGAGTTTGCGGACGAGGCCGAACACCGCCACGCCCATGCGGAGCGGCACGCCACGGCAGTCGGCGATTAGTTGCAGGGCAGCGGCTATCGCAGCCCGTCTATCAGGTGGACCAGCACCCGCTTCGACGCCAGGTCCACTTCCCTGATGACCTGGGAGACGGCAGGCAACAGGATTTCGTTGCCAGTGTCCGACACGACCACGTAGACGTCGTTGCTGCCGGTGACAAGGACTTCCTGCAAATTCCCCAGGTGTTCGCCTTCATCGGTGACCACGGCGAGGCCCACCAGTTGGTAGTGGTAAAACTCTCCGTCGGGCAGGTCAGGCGCGGGGTCTTCCGGGGCTATGAGCCACTGCCCCGCCATCTTCACCACCGCATCGGCGCTATCCAACCCTTCCAATCGTAGCAACGCATACCGGTCTGGAAGCGTCTGGTAGGACACTACTACCCAGGTTTCTTCCGCAACGGTGACCAGACTGCCGGCCTGAAACCGGGCTGGATTATCAGAATGGGGTTGGATCCTCAGGGTGCCGTCCAACCCGTGGGGCCTTATCACCCGGCCAACGACGATGGTCCCGTCCGCTGGCTCCGGAGCGATATCCGCGTTCGGTGTGCGCGGCGACGCCGACCTCGCAAAACCCCGGCGACGATGGCGGTTAGACAATCTCCAACACGGCTCGGGTGCCGTCTTTCACCGCGGCAACCCGCAGCAGTACGCGCATCGCCTGCGCTACCCTTCCCTGCCGGCCGATTACCTTACCCTTGTCTTCGGGGTCCACTTCAAGGCGGATAACTATCTGGTCGCCTTCGTCGGACTCGGTAACCCGGACGGCTTCCGGGTTAGACGTCAGCGACTGGGCGATGAACTCAATCAGCTCTTTCATCGGCGTCGACCTTGCTGGGGTGAACCTTGCTGAAAATGTCATTGCGTTCGAACATCTGTCGGACCGGATCAGAAGGCTGGGCGCCCTTGCGCAGCCAGTCAATGGCCCGGCTCTCGTCCAGTGTCACTGTCGGTGGGTCCGTCATCGGGTCGTAGTGGCCGATGCCGTCAATGTAAGCCCCATCCCGTGGGTTGCGCTTTTCGGTGACGACGATTCGGTAGTAAGGGCGGCCTTTTTTCCCTACGCGCCGTAGACGAATCCGTAGCATTAGCACTCCGTGTTGTTGAGCTGAATTACGTTTGAATCCAATTTATGGATTTGCGTCCGGTTTGTCAAACCAAGTTCCGTGCATCGTTACGGACGAAAATGCCGCTTTGACACTATATGCGCCGATGGCCAAGCCATCTTCGGCAATCCAATTGGATCGGGCTATTGGCGCCCGAATGGGCGATTAAAAAGAATATCGGACCCAGACTGGATTTCGGTTTGCCGCCTGATACTCCCAGAACCTCTGGGGCGACGGTAGACACTGGTCTGGGCCCGACTGACGGGCTAAAGCCGTTTGTGAAAAGCGATGACGCTAAGTGACGTTCACCCCGTCGTGTCCAGACTGGTGCCTACCATCGCCCCAGCATGTTAAACTGTGTTTCATTAGCCATCACCTCCTTTCTCAAAGTTCCGCACCAGCGGTTGCCCTAATCTACAATCAGGTAAATGCCTTGTCAACCCATTCCGCGCGCGAATCTGGCCACGAATTAAGGGCGGATACGCCATTGCGCGCGGTCTTCATGGGGACGCCCCAGTTCGCCGTGCCAGCGTTGGACATCCTGGGGGCCATCCCAGCAGTTGAAGTAGTGGCGGCCTATACTCCGCCCGACCGGCGGCGGGGCCGGGGCCAGGTGATGGAGCCGTCACCGGTGAAAACACGGGCCCAGGAACTGCACATCCCGGTGCTCCAGCCGGCCACGCTGCGAAACTCCGCAGCGATTGGCGAGTTTTCCGAACTGAAGCCGGACATCGTCATCGTCGTCGCCTACGGCCGGCTGCTGCCCGCGGGAGTGTTGGAGTTGCCCCGATTCGGCTGCCTGAACCTGCATCCCTCGCTGTTGCCCCGCCATCGCGGCCCTTCCCCGGTGCCGGGCGCGATCCTGAATGGCGACGACACAACCGGCGTCACATTGATGTTGCTGGACGAGGGGATGGATACCGGGCCGGTGATCGCGCAGCGCACTCGAAATATCTTCCCGAGCGACGATGCCGAATCGCTCACCAATGAGCTGTTCCGGGACGGGGCTGACCTGCTTGGCGTTGCGCTTCCCGGCTGGGTATCCGGCGACATGCCGGCCCGCCCGCAGGATGACGCGCTTGCCACCCACACGTCGAAGATGGAACGCGCGGATGGGCTGGCCGATTGGAGCCGGTCCGCTGAGTACCTGTGGCGGCAGCAGCGGGCCTTCAAACCGTGGCCCGGCCTGCACACCGCATGGGGCGGGAAGGAGATCAAGCTCCTGGAGGTTTCGCCTTTGCCGGGCGGCAGCGTCGAACCGGGGACGGTGGTTCGCACCGACACGGACCGGCTGGCCGTAGGAACGGGCGAAGGACTGCTCGCGGTCCATCGCCTGCAGTTGGAAGGGCGACGGCCCGCGGATGCGTCTGACTTCGTGCGGGGGTATCCTGATTTCGTCGGCGCACGGCTGGGATGACCGGCGCGGGCCTAGTTACAACGGGTCACCGGGGCACGCCCTGGTAGAATTTCTTGGCTCCGCATCTGGTGCATACGGCGATGGTGGCCGGCATCCCGTTTCTCATGGTGATGTACTCGACCTTCCGGGATGGGGTATTGGCCCGGCACAGAGTGCAGTGAATGATGGCCGGGTTGGAAGCTGCGCACACTGGTAATCTCCCAGGCTGAAATGTATCGGGTTGAAATCCTTGCCGTCGTCTGCCGGGCGCTTCGTGATGGATTCGAAGCGGTCGCGGCAATCAAACTCTGTCTATCAAGCTGTGTAATGAATGATGTATGGTCGGGGATTGAACTGTGGTTTCTGTTGCCTCCTCGCGAGTATCGAACGCTTCATTGCCGCTCATAATTATTACGACGTGTCGAGTCGGGCGGTTTGCCAAGCTACGTCGCCGAATCGGGTGCAAACGCGGCCGGGCGATGTCGTGCATGTCATAAGAAGCGCGCTGGTCGCTGGCGCACCCGGTCTGCCGGCCCCCCTTATGTCGCGCCGGCTGGTGTAGAATCGGGGCAAAACCGTCGGCGGGCGTCGGCGGAACCGGATGGAGGATGCAATGGCGTTCGCAGGAGTACCCACCGAAGCCGAGGTGCTGGCCTGGTATCGGGATGAGAACAACTGGGGCCGATGGGGCCAACAGGATCAGCTGGGCGCGCTGAACCTGATCACCACGGCGAAACGGACCCAGGCGGCGGCCCTGGTACAGACGGGGGAAACGGTGAGTTGCGCCCGTCCCATCACGACGGACATGACCCCGGACATCACCCACCAGGTACAGCGGTTCATGGTGGACAGCGGCGAGGCCAGGGACACCGATCCGCTCGAACGCCGCAACTCCCGTCGGGGCGCCGCCGAGTTCATCGGCATGGTCTTCCACGGACAGACCATCACGCACATTGACGCTCTGTCCCACTACTCCTACGACGGCCTGATGTACAACGGCGTGCCGGCCGGGGTGGTCACGTCTCGCGAAGGGGCCCAGAGCCATGCCATCGACCTCACTGCCCAAGGGCTGGTGAGCCGGGGCGTGCTGCTGGACATCGCCAAGGTGCGCGGCGTCGACTGGCTGCCGCCGGACGCGCCAGTCATGCCGGAGGACCTGGACGCGGCCGAGCGCGACCACGGCGTCACGGTCCAGGAAGGAGACATCCTGTTGGTAAGGACCGGTAACTACCGCCGCCGTTTGGTGGATGGACCCGTGCCGGGAACGGAGCCCAGCGTGGCCTGCCATGTCGCGTGCGCTCCCTGGTTCAAGGAACGCGGCATCGCCATGCTGGGAACCGACACCTCCAACGATATCCGTCCTAACCAGTACGAAAATATTGTGTCGCCGCTGCACATTTCCTGCCTGGTGTACCTGGGGGTCTGGCTGATCGACAACGCCAACCTGGAGGATGTCGCCGAGGTGGCGGCGCGGCATGGCCGGTACGAGTTCATGCTGTCCATCGGAGCTTTGCGGCTGCGGAATGTGACGGGCAGCCCGGTGAACCCGATAGCGATTTTCTAGGGGGCCGGGTTCACAGTCTCGCGGCTTGGGTCACTTGCCTGGTGTTGACCGCCGCTGCCTCCCTGGCGTATTGCGCGGCGACCGATATGGTGTTTGGTTTCTACTACTGGGTCTGGCAGGCGGTTGGGGGTTGACGGTGTCTCTCGACGACACGTGAAAGCCGGCTCAAAGGTCCCAGGGTTATTGGATTGTCGCCGTCGGGAACGAGAGAGCGCGGCGGTAACGAGGCGAGGTCGCCGCTTCCGGCGAGTGGCGGTGCTATGGCGACGAGATTGCCACGCTACGCTCGCAATGACCGGGGTGGGCGCTCGCAATGACCTTCCCGCCTCGGTGCATGATTTCAGGGGAACCGAATGACCCGGCAACGGCGCGAGACAGCGTTGACCGCCGGCAGACCTTGTGTTAAGATTTTCCCGCCAAACCTATAGGGTTCGGCGATTGTTGCAGATTTCTACAGGTTTTAGTGGCTACAAGTACAGAAAACCCGCCGCGCTGGATGTCTCTGGGCGAAGTGTGCCGGGCCCTGGAGATCAACGAGGCCACCCTCCGGCAGTGGGCGGATCGTGGGCGTTTGCCCGTGTATCGCACTCCTGGCGGGCACCGGCGTTTTCTGCGCGAGGACGTTGACGCGCTGATCGGCCGGAATCAAGTGGCTGAGGCCGATCCGGAAGATCTCGCTCTGGAACGCATTCGCCGCAAGCTGAGCCAGGCGGACGTATCCGCACAGCCTTGGATGGAGAGCTTCCAGGAGGAAGGACGGGACCGCATGCGCCTGTTCGGGCGGAGGCTGCTTTCCCTGCTGCTGCACAACGATCTGGACGGGCGCAGCGGACGCAAGGGCGAAACGATGTCCGAGACACACATGCTGGGCCACGAATACGGGTCTGAGATGGCAATGCGCGGCGTGCCGCTGAACGACAGCGTGCAGGCCTTTCTCTTTTTCCGGCAGGCCGTGGTGGAAGCGGTGCAACCGGACCGTCTCCGGCAGGTGGTTGAAATTTCGGACGGCGTGCTGGTCGGGCTGGTGGATGCCTACAGCGCCCGGCCGGACACTACAAAAGACAACACTGGCGCGGGATTGCCAACGTAAATGAACCGCGAACGTAAACGAACCGCGTGGGATGGTGCGTGAAATGACTACGGAATCGATGGACATCACCGACCGCAAGTTGCTCAACGTAATTCAGAGCAATTTCCCCATGGTCGAGGAACCGTACCGGGTCGTCGCCGACGATCTGGGTATCGGCGAAAGTGAACTGCTGGAGCGGCTGACCGAGTTGAAACGGCAGAATGTAGTCCGGCAGGTCAGCGCGATCTTCGATACGCGCCGCCTGGGTTACAAGACCACGCTGGTTGCGTTCGCCTACGGCGACGACGATCTGCATCCCGGCGCCATCTACATCAACCGGCATCCCGGCGTGAGCCACAACTACGCCCGGGAAGGCTCGTACTACAACCTGTGGTTCACGCTGGCGGTGCCTCCCGATGGCGATCTGGAAGTCACGGTGAAGTGGATGGCGGAAAAGACCAACGCCATCGAGTTCCGCATCATGCCCACCATCCGGTTCTTCAAGATCGGCGTGAACTTCGACATGGTCAAGCGCCGCAGTGACGCCTATAACTACAATCCCGACTCCGGGCAGCCCAACGGCGCAGCCAACGGGCAGTCGCGCACGCCGGCCAGCGACTGGAACCAGGCGCAGGAGATCACCGAGTGGGACCGGCAGGTGATCCGGGAGGCCCAGGAAGACCTGCCGCTGGTATCCCGCCCGTTCGACGACATGGCACAACGACTGGGCCTGACGGTCCCGGAATTGTTCGCGCAGTTGAGCGAGTACCAGGAGCGCAAGCTGATGCGGCGGTTCAGCGCGGTTTTGTACCACCGCCGTTCCGGTTTCCGGGCCAACGCGATGATCGTCTGGAAGGTTCCGCCGGAACGCTCCGAAGAGGTTGGGATGATCATGGCGGAGAATGCGGCGGTGACCCACTGCTACGAACGGCCCACGTTCCCCGATTGGCAGTACAGCCATTTCACCATGGTGCACGCCCCCACCCGGGACGAGTGCGAGGAGATTGGCCGGAACATCGCCCAGGCCACGGGTATCACCGAGAACCTGCTGCTGTACAGCACCCGCGAGTACAAGAAGACCCGCGTGCGCTACTTCGTTGAGGACTACGAACGGTTCTGGGACACGGCCGAAGAAGCCGAAGCCTTGGCGGAGGCGCTGGTCTAGCGGCGAACGCGGGTCTAAAGAAATCCGAGCCTGGCTCGCAATGACTGTGGAAACAAATGCCTGAGTACTACCCCGTATACCTCAACCTGACCGGCAAGCGCTGCGTGATATTGGGCGGCGGAACCATCGCCCAGGGCAAACTGGCAGCCCTGCGCGATGCCGGGGCCGACATCAAGCTAATCAGCCCGCAGTGCACCGACGGCATCAAGCGGGCCGCTCAGCGCGGACACATCACGTTGGTCCAGCGGGCGTACCGGCCGGGGGATCTGGACGGCGCCTTCATCGCGGTGGCGGCCACCAACGTCTGGCACGTGAACCGGCAGATCTACGAGGAAGCGGAAGCGCGCGGCGTTCTGCTCAACGTGGTGGACGACCCTGACCAGTGCACGTTCATCGCCCCTTCGATTGTCAGGCGGGACCCGATCACGCTGGCGATTTCCACGGGAGGAGCAAGCCCGGCCCTAGCCCGCAAGATGCGGGAAACCCTTTCCGAAGACAAGGTACTGCAGTGGGCCGAGTTGGCGGATGTGCTCGCCCGGGCGCGCAAGGTCATCAAGGAGCAGCGAACCGTTATCGACCCCACTCGGTGGCAGTGCGTCATCACCGCAGACCTGCTGGCGATGACCCGCAACGGGAAGGATGACGAAGCGGTGGAACGGGTGCTGGCACAATTGCTGGACGCCGATCTTCCCGAAATGTGCCCCGACCTGACGGCCTGCAAAGCCGGCGGGTGCGTCAAACGGGCCGCGCAGCGAGCAGCGGAGGCCGTGAGTTGAGTCTCCTGGTGCTGGGCCTAGACCACCGGACGGCGCCGGTGGAGCTGCGCGAGCGACTCAGCGTGGAGCGGGATCAGCTCCCCGACGCGCTGGCACAGCTCGCGGAATACGTTCCACAGTCGGTTATCGTTTCCACCTGCAACCGGACTGAGGTATACACCTACGACCCGGACGACATTGGGTTGGTGGGCCGAGTCGGCGACTTCCTGATCGGCTATTCGGGGGTGCCGGGCCCGGAGCTGGAGCGGCACATCTACCAGCTATGGGAAGCGGACTGCGTCTCCCATCTGTTCCGCGTGGCCAGCGGGCTGGAATCGATGATCGTGGGAGAGCGACAGATCCTGGGCCAGGTGCGGGCCGCGTTCAGCGTGGCCAGCCAGGGCGGTTACATCAAGAGCCCCTTGACGCGGGTATTCCACGATGCCCTGCGCGCCGGCCGACGGGTACATCGGGAGACCAACATCGGGCGGCATTCGAGATCGGTGAGTCGCGCGGCGGTGCAGTTGGCCCGTGGCTTGTTCGACCGTCTCGACGACCGTCGCGCGCTGGTGATCGGAGCCGGCGACGCGGGGCGCATGGTGGCGCGGGCGCTAACCGACGCCGGCGTCCAGCAAATTGCCGTGGTCAACCGCACGCACTGGCGCGCCCAGGACCTGGCGCGGGAACTGGGTGGCGTGGCGACGCCTTTCGAGAATTTGGGCCGCGCGCTGGCGGACGCCGACCTGGTCATCAGCAGCACCGGGTCGCCCGGGTACGTGGTGGATGAAGCGATGGTCGCGGACGCCCTCACCTCGCGTCGCAGCGACGAGCCGATGATGCTGATCGACATCGCAGTGCCCCGCGACATCGAGCCGTCGGTGGGCGATCTGGATCGGGCGCGGCTGTTCGACATCGACGCGTTGGCACAGGTGGCCGAGGTTTCGCTGGACGACCTGGCGGGCGAAGTGCAGAACGCGGGCACGCTGGTTGACGCGGAACTTGCCCGATTTTCGGAGTGGTGGCACTCCTCGGATACCATGGAACTGGTGGTCGGCGTGCGTCAGCGGGCGGACGCGATGCGCCGTCAAGAGGTGGCCCGAACCCTCCAGATAATGGGCGAAGACAAGGAAGGCGAACTGGCGGAACGGCTACACGCCATGACCAACGCGCTGGTCAAGAAGCTGCTGCACCAGCCCACGGTGGAACTGCGCTCCGGGGACAACACCACGGACTACCGCGTGGCGCGTCGGCTGTTCGGGTACGACGACGATCGGCGCAGCCGGCGCTGACGTACTGAACTCGGCTCATGGCTGGCGCCACCATACGGGTCGGCACCCGGGGCAGTCGGTTGGCGCTGATCCAGACCGAGCTGACGCTCGCGATCCTGCGTGAAGCCCATCCCGACGTACTTTTTGAAGTCGTAACGGTAACCACGCAGGGCGATGCCAACCAGACCGCTCCGCTGGCCGGCATGGGTCTGGGGGTATTCGTCAAGGAGATCGAGCGCCTACTGGAGATCGGCGAGATCGACATGGCGGTACACAGCCTGAAGGACATGCCGACCGTCCTGCCCGAGGGCATGGCGCTCGGAGCCATATTGGAGCGGGCCGACCCACGGGATGCGCTGGTTTCCCATCTCGGCAAGACCCTGGACGAATTCCCCGCCGGCGCGAAGATCGGCACCAGCAGTCCGAGGCGGCAGGCGCAGATCGCGGAACGGCGCCCGGACCTGGAAATCGTGCCCATCAGGGGCAACGTGGATACGCGGCTCCGGAAGGCAACGGGCGAAGAATGCGACGGTACCGTGATAGCCGTCGCCGGCCTGGACCGCATGGGACTGGCCGACGTAATCACGGAGTACCTCTCGCCCGAGGAATTCGTGCCTCCGCCGGGCCAGGGCGCGATGGCGGTGGAAATCCGAGCGGACAACAAGCGTACCGCCGAACTGGTTGCGTCGGCCGACCACCCGCCGACGACGGCCGCGGTAAGCGCGGAACGATCTTTCCTCGAAGCGCTGGGCGGCGGTTGTCAGGTCCCGGTGGGCGCGTACGCGGAGTATTACGACAGCGACGCTTTGCGGTTGACGGTGTTCATGGCAACGCCTGACGGTTCGGCGACATACCGCGCCACCGTGACCGGCGCGTCTGCGGACCCGGCGCGCCTGGCGGCGCAGGGATGGGAAAAGCTGCGCGAACGGGGGGCGGCGGGGTTGCTGACCGAGTAAGCCAAGTAAGAGGGCCAAAGCGTCGCAAGGTCCCAATCAATGGAGGCAGACCTCGTGGTCAACAATAACCAAAGGATAGGATCAAAATCGAACGCGCACGTTGGGCGTGCTTTTGAACGTCTTGCCCATCGATATTTCAACGATATGCGGGTCGGTCTTGACTTTCGTTACAACGTGCCGATTGGTTTGAGCAGCAAAAAGGACCACGAATTTGATCCAGGGTCAGATCGCCCTGCCATCCTGGTTGAGTGCAAGTCTCATAAGTGGACCACAGGTCAAAATATGCCGAGCGCAAAAATCTCCGTTTGGAACGAAGCAATGTACTATTTCTTCTTGGCTCCAAACAAATACCGCAAGATTCTGTTCGTGTTGCGAGATTTCAGCGAAAAGCATGGTGAGAGTTTGGCAGAGTACTACGTGAGAAATCACGGCCATCTAATACCGGACGATGTAGAAATCTTGGAATATGACGAAAGAAAAGCCTCAGCAATCAAGGTACATCCGAAGCCTTGACCGGCCCACCTTGCACCACTAGCATCAATCCCAACCATGAATGACGGCAGGGAGGTCGGAATATGTCCATCTCGCTGGAAGTACAGGAAAAGGCAAAGGCGATCATCCTGGCGGGCCTTCGCGCTCAGCCCCACGGCTCGGTGCGATTCTGTGACATTCACGCCACGGTAAGGTTGGACGCAGATGACGAAGAGTTCCTCGATATATCCGTCATCTATGACGGCCCTCGCGCGGATCTGAATTTCCGCCTTCTCATCTCGCTGCATGACGAGATAGAGCCACAGTTGCGCGAAATGGGCATACGGCACGTTCCCTCAGTCGGCTATATCGACAAGGCGGAATGCGGCCAACCGCTTGCCAAGACTTCAGCGACACTCCCGTAAGACAGGCCAAACCAATGCGCTGGCAAGACCTCATTGCAACCAGCCGACTATTGACCACCACGCCATACGCCAATACGCAACCGCTGCAAGACTCGCTGCGTCGAGCGGTTAGCGCCTCGTACTACGCCATGTTTCACGCATTGGCCAGCAGCAACGCCGATTGCTTGGTGGGTACGCCTCACGACCCATTGACTGAACACGCCTGGTCCCGTATCTATCGGGGATTGAACCACCAAGCGGCCAAGCGAAACCTGCTGCAAGACCGGGGGTTGTTCTCTCCGGGAATCAGGCAGTTCGCGGACACGTTCGCGCAACTTCAGGACCAGCGACACCCGGCGGACTACGATCCGAACAAATCCTTCACGCTATTTGAAACCCTGGCCCTGATAGACTTGGCCGAAGCGGCCATCCAAGGTTTCATGCAAACTGACGCCGAAGAGCGCAAGATGGTGACCATCCAGTCCCTCATCGGCAGGCGAGCGAACTAACCGGACGCTTTACGGACAATCAGGTCAAAGAATTGACGGCTGCGCGATGAAAACTGGAAAGGTCTACTTGGTCGGGGCTGGGCCCGGCGACCCGGGATTGCTCACCGTCAAGGGAGCCCAGGCGTTGGCCGCCGCTCAGGTGGTGGTGTATGACCGGCTGCTTGATCCGTCCCTGGTGGCGTTGGCGCCGACGTCGGCGGAGCGCGTGTTTGTGGGCAAGGAACGGGGCCGGCAGGCGTTGACCCAGGCGGGGATCAACGAGTTGCTCGTCGCGGAGGGGTCGGCCGGCAAGACGGTGGTGCGACTCAAGGGTGGCGACCCATTCGTCTTCGGCAGGGGAGGCGAAGAGGCGATGGCACTGGGCGAGGCCGGCGTCCCGTTTGAAATCGTGCCGGGAGTCACGTCGGCGGTGGCCGCTGCCGCATACGCCGGCATTCCGGTCACACATCGAGGGGTGTCCACCGCGGTTACGATCGTCACGGGCAGCGAAGACCCGAGCAAAGGCGAAACCACCACCGATTGGACGGCCCTGGCTAAAACCGGTGGCACGCTGGTGACATTGATGGGCTGGGCAGCGCTCCCTGGAATCGCGGCCACGCTCCAGGCCAACGGCATGGCCGGCGACACTCCCGCAGCCCTGGTGCAGTGGGGAACCTGGAGCCGACAGCGGACGGTCACGGGGACAATCGCCGACATCGCGGAGCGAGGCAAGGCGGCGGGTCTCGGCGCGCCGGTGATCGCTATCATCGGGGAGGTGGCCCGGCTGCGGGAGGACATCGCCTGGTTCGACCGGAGGCCACTATGGGGCAAGCGGGTGCTGGTGACGCGCTCCCGGACGCAGGCATCACGGATGATCGAGCTGCTGACCGAATTGGGGGCGGAACCCATCGAATTGCCGTCCATAGAGATTGGGCCCCTGGATGATTACGGAGACCTCGACGATGCTCTGAAAGAAACGGCCCACGTTCCCGGGCGATGGGTGATATTCACCAGTGTCAATTCAGTGGAGTACGTTTGGGAACGGTTGCGGGCATTGGGGAAGGATGCCCGGTACTTTGCCGGCGCGACAGTGGGCGCCATCGGGCCGGCGACGGCGCGGGCGCTGCGGGAACGGGGTATCGAGCCTGACTTCATTCCGAGGCGCTCGGTGTCGGAGGAGGTAATTGCCGAACTGTCGGAGATTGACTGGACCGGACGCCTGGCGTTGCTGCCGGGCTCAGCCATCGGGAGGGATGCGCTGGCCGCCGGGCTGACCGCGCTGGCCGCCGATGTGCGGCGGGTTCCCGCCTATCGCAACGTGCGTCCGGAGGGCATCGCAGAGCGGGCGCGAACCGCATTTGAGCGGGGCATCGATGTGGTAACCTTCACGAGTTCGTCAACGGTGCGGAACCTGTTCGACATTCTCGGTGTGGATCGCCATTTGCTGCAAGGAAGCGCAGTCGCGTGCATCGGGCCGATCACGGCAGCGACGGCCGTAGAATTGGGACTGACCGTTGACATCATGGCTGCGGAACACAACGTGGAAGGGCTGGCCGACGCGTTGGTCGCTCATTTCTCCGGCGGCCAGAACGCTGTCGCCACTCGTTAAGTGTCGTCACCCGATAAGTGTGAGGAGGGACATCATGCTGAAGCACCCGGATTTGCGCCTGCGCCGACTGCGGGAGAAAGCGCCGGTGCGCGACATGGTGCGGGAGACCCGCATCAACGCCGCCAACTTCATCTACCCGATGTTCGTCACCCACGGCGAGAACATCAGGGACGAGATTGAGCCCATGCCCGGGTGTTATCACACCTCCATTGACCGCCTGGGAGAAGAGATCGACGAGGTGGTCGAACTGGGGATTCCATCAGTGCTGCTGTTTGGCCTGCCGCCCGAAAAGGACGGCGTGGGCAGTGGCGCTTACGATCCCGAGGGGATAATCCAGGAGGCGACGCGCACCATCAAGGAACGCGCGCCGGGACTGATGGTCATTGGCGACGTGTGCCTGTGCGAGTACACCGACCACGGGCACTGCGGCGTCATCGACGGTGACCGGATCGACAACGACGCCACGCTGGAACTGCTGGCGCGGTCCGCGTTGACGCAAGTGCAAGCCGGCGCCGACATGGTCGCCCCTTCTTCCATGATGGACGGGCAGGTGCGGGCGATACGGGAGACGCTGGACGCCCACGGCTACGACGACACGCCGATCATGGGCTATGCGGCCAAGTACGCTTCATCGTTTTATGGCCCCTTCCGCATCGCCGCCGATTCCACGCCGCAGTTCGGCGACCGGCGCAGCTACCAGATGGACCCGGCCAACCGCCGTATGGCCATGCGGGAGATTGAGTCGGACATCGCCGAGGGCGCTGACATCGTGATGGTCAAGCCGGCCATGGCGTACCTGGACGTTATCAAAGAGGCCCGGGAGCGGTACGACTACCCGCTGGCGGCGTACAACGTGAGCGGCGAGTACTCAATGGTGAAGGCGGCATCGCGGGCCGGCTGGATTGATGAAAAGCCGATCACGCTGGAACTGCTGACGGCAATGCGCCGTGCCGGCGCGGACATCATCATCTCCTATCACGCCAAGGAAGTTGCCCGCTGGCTGCGAGGTCAGGAGTAGGCTTGAGGTCGGAGGCGAGCCCTCGGGGACACCGGTCTCACGCATGCCTACTTTTGTCATCGCGAGGAGCGCAGCGACGTGGCGATCTCGTTGAATTGAGCGAGGATCCCTCCAGCGCCGAGATTGCCACGCTGCGCTCGCAATGACCAATTGTGCAAAGTGGGTGCGCGTGAGGGACATCGGTCAGTTGACACGATCCGTGATCCCTTTCAGAATAAATCACAAGAAGACACTGGATTACTCGGAGGTTCAAAATGACGCAAACCGCAGCCTATTCGGTGGACGCATTCATCGACGACGTTCGCGAGATTTTCGACTCCACGGAGGATGCGCTGGCCCAGGCTTCCGGCGTGGCGAAGCGCATGGAGCTCCTGTTGGCCACCCCCGGCTGGCTGGAGGAGCGGCTGGAACTCCCCGACGAGGGTGGGTACGGACGCTATGATCTCCACCTGGATGAAGACTACGGTCACCCGGGCGGCGGGTTCTGGCTGATGGCTTCGGTGCAGAAGCCCGAACAGGACAACCTGCCCCATGACCACGGCGCAGCCTGGGTGGTGTACGGCGTGTACGACGGCGCCATCAAGCAGACCAAGTTTCGCTGGTTCTATCCCGGCGAGGGAGTCGACTCCGTGCAGATCCAGGAGACCGGCGACTTCGTTCAGGGGGATGGCAAAGTAGCCTTCTTCCTGCCCGGGGAGATCCACAACACTTTGAACGTGACCGAAGGTCGGACCGATGGTCGCGCTGTGGTAGTGCGCCTGGAATCCCAGAAGCTGGACCGCGTAACCCGTTATCAGTACAACCCTGGCGAGGGCACCATGGTGGTGATGGACCGCTAGGGTCGTTTCACCGGTTGCTCCTGGCAACCGGGATCCACGGGAAAGCGGCTCTCCAGGAGGGCCGCTTTGCGTTTAACCGGCCGGCAAAGTATCTCCTCATCAGTCTGGGGCATTTCCAACCTTGTGCCGCTCGGAGATTGCCGGCATACCCCGTTGCCCGTTGCACAGACGACGCCCCGGGCGCCGGGCGATGCAACGGGTCCCGCGGTTGGCGGTATGGCATTTCACCATAGCGCGCTGTACGATGGGCAATGCCGGAACTCGGACGCTAACGCCGGCTGAGCGTCAGCGTCACGAGCGGTCGAATTACAACCGAGGAGACATCCAGAATGGAGCAAGGCAGGTCCCAGCAGCTTTTCGAGCAGGCGCAGCGAGTGATCCCCGGCGGGGTGAACAGCCCGGTGCGGTCGTTCCGGGCGGTGGAGGGCACGCCGCCCTTCATTGCGCGGGGCGCGGGCGCCCATGTTTGGGACGTGGACGGCAACGAGTACATCGACTACCTGGGATCCTGGGGGCCGCTGGCGCTGGGTCACGCGCACCCCGCCGTGGTGGAAGCGGTGCAGCGGGCGGCGGCGGACGGCACCTCCTTCGGGGCTCCGGTGGAACAGGAAGTCGAGCTGGCCGAGATGATCTGCGCGGCCCTGCCTTCAGTGGAACTGGTGCGACTGGTCAACTCCGGCACGGAAGCCTGCATGACCGCGTTGCGCCTGGCGCGGGCGTACACGGGTCGTTCGAAGATCGTCAAGTTTGCCGGCAACTACCACGGACACGCTGACGGGCTCCTGGTGGCGGCCGGTTCCGGCGCGCTGACCCACGGCATTCCCACCAGCGCCGGCGTACCCGAATCCTACGCGGCGGAAACGCTCATTGCGACGTTCAACGACATCGCCTCCGTGGAAGGCCTGTTCGAGGCGTGGCCGGAAGACATCGCCGCCGTCATCGTGGAACCGATTGCCGGCAACATGGGCGTGGTGCCGCCGGCCGACGGGTTCCTCGAAGGGCTCCGGCAGGTTACCGAGACCAGGGGCGCGCTGCTGATATTCGACGAGGTAATCACCGGATTTCGCGTCGCCTACGGCGGGGCGCAGACGTTATTCGGGATCACGCCGGACATCACAACGATGGGCAAGATCATCGGGGGCGGGCTCCCGGTGGGCGCCTACGGCGGCCGCAACGAGGTCATGCAGCAGGTGGCGCCGCTGGGGCCGATGTACCAGGCGGGCACATTGTCCGGCAATCCGCTGGCGGTGGCCGCCGGTGTCGCGACCCTCACCGAGCTACAGCGGCCCGGCGTGTACGAGCAGCTCGAGAGCACCGGGATACGACTGATCGACGGTGTCAACGCCGCCTTCGCTCGAGCGGAGGTGCCGTCCACTGTCAATCGGGTGGCATCGATGTTCACCGGGTTCTTCAATGCCGGGCCGGTGTCGGCGCTGGCCGAAGTGGAGCAGTCCGATACCGCGGCCTACGGGCGATATATGCACGCCCTGCTGGAGAGGGGCGTGTACATTGCGCCGTCTCAATTTGAAGCGGGCTTCGTGTCCATCGCCCACACCGACGCCGACATAGACCGAACGATTGTGGCCGTGGGCGACGCGCTGGCGGCGCTGGGATAGTTGACGGGCGTGTGGCATGGGTTATGTATACACGGGTCCTGACGCGTAGGTAGGGGCGAATGACCATTCGCCCCTACGAGTTTGCAAGATGGCGGCGACAAACCTGAAAGCACTGCTCAAGCGGCATTTCGGCTACGACGAATTCCGGCCCGGGCAGGAGACGATAATCAACACCGCCCTGGATGGGCGCAACAGCCTAGTCGTGATGCCCACCGGCGGCGGCAAGTCGCTCTGCTACCAGTTGCCGGCGCTGGCGACGGGCGGGTTGACCCTGGTGATCTCGCCCCTGATCGCGTTGATGAAGGACCAGGTGGATGGCCTGCGGTCCAATGGCATCGCCGCCGAATTCCTGAACAGCACCCTGGACAACCGGACTGCGGCCGAAGTGGAGCGCAGCGCCCAGGCGGGAGTGGTCAGGCTGCTTTACGCGGCGCCGGAACGGGTCAGCATGCCCGGGTTCAGGCGGTTTCTGGGTACACTGGACCTGCGGATGATCGCCATCGACGAGGCCCATTGCATCAGCGAGTGGGGGCACGATTTCCGGCCCGACTACCGCCAGCTGGCCGAGCTGCGCGAGCTGTTCCCGCAAACGCCGATAATGGCGCTGACGGCCACCGCCACCGAGCGGGTGCGGCGCGACATCGTGGCACAGCTGGGGCTGGACGGCTGCGCCGAGTTCGTGTCCGGTTTCGACCGGTCCAACCTGACCTACAACGTGAAGCCGGGAGCGGGTTCCTGGGAAACTCTCCTGGCGCTCCTGGACGAGCGAAAAGGCCAGTCGGCCATCGTCTACTGCTTCTCCCGCAAGGATACCGAGGAACTGGCAGCGCGGCTCACCAGCGACGGGCATCCGGCGGTGGCCTATCACGCCGGTTTGGCCGCCGACACGCGCCGCCGGACGCAGGAGCGCTTCATCGACGGCGAGGTCCCCATCGTGGCGGCCACCATCGCCTTCGGGATGGGCATCGACAAACCCGACATCCGGTTGGTGGTCCACCACGCGCTGCCCAAGTCCATCGAGGGCTATTACCAAGAGACCGGCAGGGCGGGCCGCGACGGGTTGCCCAGCGAATGCGTCCTGTTCTTCAACGAGGGAGACCGGGCCAAGCAGGAATACTTCATCCGGGGGATGACGGGAGAAGCCCGCGCCGTGGCGGACCGGCAACTGCAGCAGATGGTGGACTATTGCCGCCTGAACACCTGCCGGCGAGGTTACCTGCTAGGTTACTTCGGCGACGCAATGGCCGGTGGTTCCTGCGGCAACTGCGACGTGTGCCTGGCGGAAAGACAGTCGGTAGATGTCACGGTGGTCGCCCAGAAACTGCTGTCGGCGGTGATGCGTACCGGCGAGCGGTTTGGCGTCGCGCACGTATCCGACGTCTTGCTCGGCAGGAACATCAAGCGCATTCGTGAGCTGGAACACGACAAGCTCAGCGTGTTCGGCATAGTGGACGATTATGACCGCGACGGGTTGCGTCTCATCGCCGATGGGCTGGTGGAGCGAGGACTCATCGGACGGGCGGATGGTCAGTATCCAACGCTGGGGGTCACCACGGACGGCAGGGAGTGGCTGCGGAAACGCGGATCCCTGACACTGGACCTACGCGTCGATGAACCGCCACCCCAACGGGAAACATCCGGAGAACCTAACGCGGGGAAGGAACGTACCGCGGGGAAAACCAGAGGCGGCGCGAACACGCCTGATGCCGCATTGTTCGAGCAGTTGCGGGCGTTGCGCCGGAGCCTGGCTGATGCAGAAGGAGTGCCGGCCTTCGTGGTGTTCGGCGACATCACGCTGAATGGGCTGGCAGCAGCGAAACCGATCCATTCGCGAGATATGCTGGCCGTATCCGGCGTAGGGCCGACCAAGTTGGACAAGTATGGCGAGGCGTTTATGGCGGTGATAAGGGAATATGTGGGCAGTATGACACTGGCCGCAGGGGAAAACGCATCCGGTCGTCCCGTCAACGGTGGCGCGTCTGTAGCTTCAACCCGCCGACCGGCCGGCGACGCCAGCGTTCGAGAGTTGGGCGACACTCACCAGTTGACGCGGCGGTTGTTGCAACAGGGATTGACGGTTGCCGAGATCGTCGCGCAACGAGGATTGTCCCAGGGACGGTGATGGCGCATATCGAGCGCATCGCACAAGGCGACACGACCGTCGATTTGAGCGCACTGCTCCCCTCGACGGAGCGTACGGAACGAATCGAGGAGGCGCTGCGAGCGACGGGCTACGAACGGCTGGCTCCGGCGAAGGAGCTGCTCGGAGCCGATTATTCCTACGATGAGATCCGGCTGGTCCGGCTGTCGCACCGTGAGGGTAAAACGTAGGGGCGAATGATCATTCGCCCCCACTTGCGGATCGCTATGTTGCCGGCGGTTCAGGCGCCGTAGCGGGCAGCGGCGTTGGGGTCGCTGTAATCCACGCTCTTGGTCGCCCAGAAGGTGGAGGCGATGTCGTCACAAGCGGCGACCAGGGCCTCGGCGTTCTCCATACTGACGGTCTGCTTGCACTGTCCGGCCAGCTTGAGGGCAGCATTGAACTTGCCGGCGACTTCGTTGGCGTCGGTGCCGGGCCAGGCGTAGTCGGCCCAGAGGATCCGCAACTCTTCCTTGCACTTCTCGGCGTGCTCTTCCTTGACGGTGACGTAGCGGGAGAAGGTGTTGGCGAAGCCCTGGCGTTCCGCGGCCGGGGCGCCGGGCTGCGGAGCCTCCAGGTTCTGCATGCGGAGGACCATCTTCTGCACGGTCTGGGCGGCGATCTTGGCGACCAGCGGGTCGTAGATTCCGCAGGGGATGTCGCAGTGGGCGTGGGCCGTGCGAGGCTTCAGGAATGCGATGGGATTGAACATCGTGAGCAGTCTCCTTGTGTTGGCACAAACGCGGGGCGAAATGCCGTTATGGACGGAATGATTTCGGCAAAAATGCTAGCGTACTTTGCCGATTGGCGCAAGGGCGATGGAAGCGTGACCGCTTATGCTATGCTTGCGCCATCATTACCCTATGGAGGGATTCCGCCATGCGCGCTGCCGTTTACAAGGGTGAGCAGGTTTTGCAGGTCGAGGAGCTTCCCGATCCTACTCCGGGACCCAACCAGGTGGTGATGCGGGTGAAATACTCCGCGATCTGCGGGACGGACGTGCACGCTTTCATGTATGACCTGGCCCAGCCGGGCGCGGTGATGGGCCACGAGTACACCGGGACCATCGTTGACATTGGGCCGGAGACAGGCCGCTGGCAGATGGGCGACCGAGTGGTCGGCGGCGGCGGACATCCCCCGCAGGGCGGCGGGTCGGCGACGCGCACCCACCCGCGGTTCAACTACCGCACGATGGGTTTCCAGCACAACACGCGGCCGCGCGGCTATGCCGAGTTCGTGCTGCTGGACGAATGGGAACCGACGCCGGTTCCGGACGACGTGACCGACGAGCAGGCCGCGCTGTGCGAGCCATGCGCGGTCACCGTCCACGCCGTGCGCCTGTCCGACATCAAGTTGGGCGACGCCGTGCTGGTGCTGGGAGCGGGACCCATCGGCCTGCTGTGCATGCAAACGGCAAGGGCGGCCGGCGCGACCACGGTGATCGTGTCCGAGCCGGCGCCGGGTCGTGCGGAGGCCGCACGGCAACTGGGCGCGGACGCGGTGCTCAACCCGATGGACAACGATTTTGCCGAGCGGGTGGTGGCGTTGACCGGCGGTACGGGTCCACAGGTGGTGTTCGAGTGCGCCGCCGCGCCGTCGACGCTGGAGCAGGGGCTGGACCTGTGCGCTCGCGGCGGGCAGGTGGTGATGATCGCCATCGCCTGGGAGCCCACGCCGGTGGCGCCGCCCAACTGGATGGCGCGGGAAGTGCGGATGCAGTCGTCGTTCGGCACGCTGCCGGAGGACTGGCGGATCGCGCTGGAGCTGATGCGAACCGGGCGGGTGTCCGTGGAGCACATGCTGTCGGGCACCAACTTCGTGCCGCTGGATGGAATCCAGGGCGCGTTTGAGGCGCTGTGCCACCCGACCAACGAGCTACAGATGGTGGTGGAACCGTAAACGCAGTTCGGTTGCCGCTGCGTGGGGGCCAATCTATAATCGAGCGACGCATTTGATTGTTAATGGCGGGTATCAGGCCCGTTGAGGAGGCCGTTTTGACTATCACCACACGCAGCTCGCGAGCCCTGCTCAAGCACCGCAGCAGCGATATCACCGACGGGCCCGACCGGGCGCCGGCCCGCGCCATGCTGATGGCCATGGGCCTGACGTACGATGATATAGCGAAACCCTTCGTCGCCATCGCCAACCTGGCCAGCGATGTTACGCCCTGCAACGTCCACCTGGGCCGCATCGCCGCTGCCGTGAAGGACGGCATCCGCCAGGGCGAGGGCACCCCGTTCGAGTTCGGCACCATCACGGTCAGTGACGGCATCTCCATGGGCACCGAGGGGATGAAGGCCTCGCTGGTGAGCCGGGAAGTCATCGCCGACTCGATTGAAACGGTCACCTTCGGCGAGCGCATGGACGGCCTGGTCACCGTGGCCGGCTGCGACAAGAACATGCCGGGCTGCATGATGGCCATCGCCCGCCTGAACATCCCCAGCGTTTTCGTCTACGGCGGCAGCATCATGCCGGGCCAGTTCGAGGGTCGCGACGTCAACATCCAGGACGTGTTCGAGGCCGTGGGCGCATACGCCGCCGGTCGCATGACTCGGGAGCAGCTGACCGAGCTGGAATGCAACGCGTGTCCGGGCGAGGGTTCCTGCGCCGGCCTGTTCACCGCCAACACCATGTCCACCGCCATCGAGGTGATGGGGCTGTCCCTGCCGGGCGACGCCTCGCTGACCGCCATCAACCCCGAGAAGAACAACGAAGCCCGCCGCGCCGGACAGGCAGTGATGCGGATGCTGGAAGAAGGCATCCGGCCACGGGACATCCTGACCCGGCAGGCCTTCGAAAACGCCATCACCGTGGTGGTCGCCATGGGCGGTTCCACCAACGCCGTGCTGCACCTGATGGCCATCGCACGGGAGGCAGAAGTTGACCTGACTTTGGATGACTTCGACCGCATCGGGCGCAACACGCCATACATCGCCGACATGAAACCCGGCGGCCGGTACGTCATGGCCGACCTGAGCCGCTACGGCGGCGTCGCGCTGGTCGGCAAGCGCCTGCTGGACGCGGGCCTGCTGCACGGGGACGCCATGTCGGTCAACGGCAAGACGCTGGCGGAGAATATCAACGAGACGGCGATCATTGACGACCAGCCGGTTATCTATTCGACGGACGCGCCGCGCAGTCCCACGGGCGGCCTCGCCATCTTGCGGGGCAACCTGGCTCCCGACGGAGCGGTGATCAAGGTTGCCGGACACCAGGAGCGGGTTACGAGGGGCCGGCCCGGGTGTTCGAACAGGAGGAGCCGGCGTTCCAGGCGATACAGCGGGGCGAGATCAAGCCGGGCGACATCGTGGTGATCCGCTACGAAGGGCCCAAGGGCGGGCCGGGAATGCGCGAGATGCTGGCCGTCACCGGCGCGCTCATCGGGCAAGGGCTCGGCGACTCCGTTGCGTTGGTGACCGACGGCCGGTTCTCCGGCGCGTCCCACGGGCCGATGGTGGGCCACGTTGCGCCGGAGGCAATGGTCGGCGGGCCCATCGGAATGCTGCGCGAGGGCGACATCATCAAGCTGGACATACCGAACCGCCGGCTCGACGCGCGCATCACCGAGGAAGAGATGGCCGACCGCCGCGCCGCGTGGCAACCCATCGAACCCAAGTACACCACCGGCGTGCTGGCCAAGTACGCCAAGCTCGTGTCGTCGGCATCCGAAGGGGCCGTGACCGGGTAACGCGAAACGACGCCCAACTTAAGCCATCCCTCACTGGGGAGTAACAGCCATTGGGGAGTAACAGCATGACCACCACCGACAATCGCGTCCAACTCGAAAAGAAAGGTCCGCTGGCGGTGATACGGCTGAACCGCCCCGAGGCACGCAACGCGCTGTCGCCGGAGATGGTGGCCGAACTGGGTGCGGCGATCAAGTCGTGCCGTGGGGCAGACACCCGCGCGGTTCTGCTCACGGGCACCGACGGCGCGTTCTGCTCCGGCGCGGACGTGCGCAACTTCACCCAAGAGTTGGATGACGGCGGACCGGAAGGGCTGTCGGACCATCTGCGCGAACTGGCGGACGCCCTGCACCGCGACGTGGTGATGGGCATACGACGGCTGGACAAGCCCGTCGTCGCCGCGATCAACGGCGTGGCGGCCGGGGCGGGTTTCAGCCTCGCGCTGGCCTGCGACATCCGGGTGGCGTCGTCGGACGCCCGGTTCCTGCTGGCCTACGCCAACATCGGCTGCACGGCGGACGGCGGGTCCACCTATATGCTCCCGCGCATCGTCGGCCAGGGTCGCGCCATGGAGATCTACCTGGCCCGCCAACCCATCGGCGCGCAATACGCGCTGGAGCTGGGACTGGTGAGCCAGGTGTTCGAAGCCCCCCATTTTGAACGGCACGCCATGGAAACGGCGGACCGGCTCGCCCAGGGTCCCACCCGGGCCTATGGTCGGGTCAAGGCCCTGTTTGACGGCAGCTGGGACGCCGACCTGGCGACACAGCTAGACGCGGAAACCGAAGCCATCGCCAGCGTCGGGCTGACGCGTGACTTCCAGGAAGGAATAAAGGCATTTTCTCAAAAGCGGCAAGCCTGGTTTCAAGGTTCGTGAGCCTGTCCTGGGTTGGATTCCTGTCCGATGTGGACCGTATACGCCTGTTCGACCACTTGAGCAAGACCCTGGGGGACTCGCCGGCGCTGGACGCCATGCGCCGTGTGCCCCGGGAAAGGTTCGTTCCCGAGCATCTGGGAAACCAGGCGTACCAAAACACCGCCCTTGCCATCGGCCACGGCCAGACCATATCGCAGCCCCAGATGGTGGCGGCGGCCAGCATCGCCCTCGACCTGCACGGCGATGAGCACGTCCTGGAGGTGGGCGCGGGCAGCGGCTACCAGGCGGCGGTACTTTCCGCGATGCTGCCGCGCGGGAGCGTAGTCGCGGTAGAACGGATCCCGGCGCTGGTCGCGATGGCGCGACGCAACCTGTCGGCCGCCGGGTTCAGCGACGTGACGGTGTTGGAAGCCGGCTCGATACTGGGAGCGCCAGACTGCGCTCCGTTCGACGCGATCCTGGTCTCGGCGTCGGCTCCGGCGGTGCCGGAAACGCTGCTGGCGCAACTGAAACCCGGCGGTCGCATCGTGCTGCCGGTGGGAACACGGGAGCGGCAGACGCTGACGCGGGTGTGGGTCAATCCGGACGGGCGGGTACGCGAGGAATTGGGTCCCTGCACCTACGTGCCGCTTTTGGGCGAAGAGGCGTGGCCCGAAGGATCGTAGCGCACACTTCCGACTATGCTCCGTCCGACTATGCTCCGATGGTATGGCATAATACCCGCAGCAACCGACACGGAGGGACAGCATGGCCGGAAAGATTGAGATCCGTCAGATCAACCACGTAACCACCATGGTGAAGGACACGGCCCGGGCAATGGCGTTCTACAACGACCTGCTGGGCATCAAGCAGATCCAGAGCCAGGTGGACAACCCGGCCATCACCTGGCTGCAACTCGAAAACGGCATCATGGTGCACCTGATCGAAACCGACGAAGCGCCGGCCAAGCCCGGCAACATCCATCACGCGTTCCAGGTGGATGACCTGGAGGCCACCCGCGCCACGCTGGAGAGCAGCGGCTACGAGCCACTGCGCGGCGGGGTGCGCTACGACGGGCAGGCCTACTTCTTCATCGAAGACCCGGATGGCAACAGCGTCGAGATCTGCACCGCGTCGGGCTACGCGCCGGCGCCGCCGCGGCCGGCGTAACCACCATTTGCGATGATCCCGGACAACATCATCCTGGTTGGTTTCATGGCGACCGGCAAGAGCCATGTCGGGCGCATCATTTCCCGGCTTACCGGACGGCGCATGACCGATCTGGATGAAGAGATAGTTCGGCGAGCCCGCAAGCCCATCCACCAGATTTTCAGCGACGAAGGCGAAATCGTGTTTCGCGCCATGGAGCGTCACGCGGCGATGACCCTATGCGAAGGCGGCAACAAGGTCATCGCGGCCGGGGGCGGCGCCTTCGTCCAGGAACTGACCCGGCAGGTCCTGCTGGAAAACGGGATCGTGTTCTGCCTCACCGCCACGTCGGAAACCATCCACTACCGCATCACCCGGGGGAGCCCCAGCGCCGCGGTGCGGCCCATGCTGGCCGGAGGCGACCCGCTGGAACGAATACGGGATTTGCTCGACGAACGCGCCCCCGCCTACGCGCAGGCCCACCACGCAGTTGCCACCGACGACCGCACCCCCGAGCAGGTGGCGGACGAGGTGCTGCGCATCTTTGAAACCACCGTCACCGCCACCGCTCAGGCCTGACCACGGGGAGGAAAGCAATGACCAGCCCAGACCTCGCCGCAACCGTTTCCCACGTTTGGCAACCTATCGCCCCGATTTCGGAAGACTTTACCTACGATTTCTTTGCAATCGACGGTTTGCAACGACAGTGGCTCGCCCATCGCCCATCGCTCGAGGCATCCGCATCTACCGCGTATGAGGATCTCTTGGCTCGGCTGACCCGTAGCTGGGCTATCGAAACTGGCATCATTGAAGGTTTGTACACTCTTGACCGGGGTGTCACTGAAACGCTAGTGGCGCAGGGCATCTCTGTAGACCTGATTGAGCGAAGCTCCACCAACAAGTCCCCGGCCGATTTAGCTAGGATACTGAACGACCATCAAGACGCCATTGTCGGCATCTACGCCAAAATCAAGGAAGAGCTACCGATTACGCGTATCTCCATTCTACAGCTGCACACCGTCCTGACCCGAAACCAGCAAACCCACACTGTGGTAGACCATTTGGGACGTGAGTTCGAAGCCCGGCTTATTCCCGGCGAATTCAAAAAATGGCTGAACAACCCCACCCGACCCGATAATGGAACCATCCATGAATACTGCCCGCCCGAGCAGGTCGACAGCGAACTTGACAATCTACTGGAACATTACAATGCATACCTGCAAGACTCCGACCGTTATCATCCCCTGCTAACCGCTGCTTGGCTCCACCACCGCTTCGTCCAAATTCACCCCTTCTCGGACGGCAATGGCCGCGTTGTCCGCGCCTTGCTCACTTGGCACTTGGTTCGGGAAAACTACCTGCCAATAGTAGTGACCCGTGATGACCGGCCGCGCTACATAGCCGCCCTTGAAAAAGCGGACGCTGGCAACTTAGTGCCCTTCGTTGACCTGCTGGTGCTATTGCAACGGCGTGCCATAGTGGAAGCCCTTGACAAACACGAACCTGAGCCCGCTGGACTCGTCGATCAGGTGCTAAGTCACATTGTGTCCCAAGTCGGCCGTCGCAACGCCGAGCACGAAGCTCAGCTGCGTTCCGTCAATGACACTGCACAGGCCCTACGTGACCACGCCGCTTCCCAGCTGACCAGGCAGGCTGACCAAATCGCTTCCCAATTGAACCAAGTCGGTATCAATATGGAGCCAGAGGTCATCAATGGCGGCCCCGGCGACAAAGAGCATTGGTATCACAGGGAGGTTGTAGAGTCAGCCAACCAAGCCACTCCCAGGCAATGGGTGAACTTCAACGAATCCCGGTTCTGGGTCAGGCTCGCCATGAACCCTCGCTCAAACCCCGGTCAGTCCCGTCTCGTTTTTCTAGTGTCGTTGCATCACATCGAGTGGCAGTTGTCCGGGTTAATGTCAGCAACCGCCTTTGCTCGGGTAGAGCATTACAAAGACCCGGCGGATCCGGATACGCCTGAAAATCCGCACACGTTCATTAACTGCACACCTCCGGATACCTTCACCATTACCAACGAATACGATGTCTATGCCCTCTACCCCCGTTTCGCTACGTGGACCGAACAGGCCCTTGCCATCGCCCTGCAACAGTGGGGGCATTACCTCGCCTGACCAACCGCCGACGGACGACGCCAAAGGAGACCTTACAATGACCAGCCCAGACCTCGCCGCGACCGTTCACCACTCCGGGGGCAGCTACCCCGTCATTGCCGGCTGGGGCATCATCGAACGGCTGGGCGAGCACATCGCGGAACTCGGGTTGGGCAACACCGCCTACATCGTCACTGACGAGAACGTCATGCGGCCCTACGGGAGGAACGCCCAATGGGCCTTGCAGAGGGCAGGGATCGCAGCCCATTGCTTCGTCATTCCCGCGGGGGAGACCAGCAAGTCCTTCCAGCTGGCCCAGGAAATTTACGAGTGGCTGGTGGGTCTGAAAGCCGAGCGCGGCCAGCCGATCATCGCCATCGGCGGCGGCGTGGCCGGCGATCTGGGCGGCTTCATCGCCAGCACCTTCCTGCGCGGGGTACCCTTCGTGCAGGTGCCGACCAGCATGGCCGCCATGGTGGACGCGTCCATCGGCGGCAAGGTCGCGGTGAACCTCCCCCAGGCCAAGAACATGGTCGGCGCGTTCTACCAGCCCGCGAGCCGTGCTGGCCGACGTGCACGCGCTGTCCACGCTGGGCAAGCGGGAACTTTCCGAAGGTTGGGCCGAGGCCATCAAACACGGCCTGATCCTGGATCCGTCGCTGGTGGACGTATTCGAGGAGCACGCCGAGGCGCTGATGGATGTGGAACCGGAGATCTCCACCGAGGTGATCCGGCGGAGCATGGCCATCAAGGCCGACGTGGTGAGCCAGGATGAACGGGAAACCCTGGGCGTCCGCATCCTGCTGAACTACGGGCACACCATCGGCCACGCACTGGAAGCGTCTACGGAGTACGGCCGGTTCATGCACGGAGAGGGCGTGTCGGTGGGCATGATGGGCGCCGGACGCATCGCTCGCGAGATGGGCATGATCGGCGACGACATCCTGGAGCGGCAGCGCGTCCTGCTGCAGCGGTTCAACCTGCCCATCACCGCCCGGGGCGTTGACCTGGACGGGGTACGGGCAGCCATGTCGCTGGACAAGAAGACCGTGGGAGGCGCGAACCGCTGGGTGCTGCTGGAGGACGTGGGCCGCGCCACCGTCCGTCGGGACATTCCCGGCGAAGTGGTGGAGGACACGCTGGCCTGGCTCACCGAATAAGGAGTTGGCCGAGCGGGGCCATTTCGCCGGAGCGGTCAGGCCACCGGCCGCCGACCCGCCCGGGCTTCGCGCAACGCGGACAGGCGGCGGCCGCGTCGCGCCTGGGTTACCACCGCAGTGGTGAGCAGCATCAGGATCGTCACCGCGACCGCGCCGGACACGCCCAGGAGCAGCACCTGGCTGACCTGCTCCAACCCGCCTGACCCCAACAACCTGGCCAACTGACCCAGGCCCACCGCAACCCCGGCGTTGAGCACGGTGATGCCGAACAGGCCAAGGATGCGGCTGGCATTAACAAACCGCGTCGCCAGGGCGCCGAGCTGCGTGCCAACGGACGCCGACGCGAACATGATGACGGCGATCACGGGGTCCACATTGCCGTTCAATGAGTAGAGAAAGGCCCCCAGGCTGCCGGTGATGATGATCTGGAACAGATCGGTGCCGATGGCGACGGCCGGCGGAATCCCCAAACCGTAGACCAGGAACGGCATCAGCAGAAACCCGCCGCCGGCGCCCAGCAGCGCCGCGACGAACCCGATGGTGAATCCGGCGAACACCGGCACCAGCGCGGACATCTCCTCAATGCCGGCCCGAGGAAAAGCGGGCCGCAGGTTCACCTCACCGGAAAATCGTGCACCAAGCAGCGTTGGCAACCGGACCCGGTCCGGGCCGACGCGCACGCTCCGGAACCAACCCGGGAGCCCGCCGCCCACGGTCCGTCGCGGACTGTAGCGCAGTTGACGCAGCCAGTTTCCCACCATGAGAGAACCCAGGCTCAGCAGCAGCACGAAGTAGACCCCGCCGACCACGGGTCCGGCGACGCCGGCTTCCGCCAGGGTCGCATTGACGCGCTCGCCGACGAACACGCCGGGGATGGTGCCGCAGACGATGAGAACCGCCAGCCGGATATCGACATTGCCCAGCCGGCGGTGGCGAAGGGTGCTGGTGATCGCCGTGCCCATCACCATCAGGAGTCCGGTGCCCACGGCGTAGATGGTCGGTACGCCCAGCACCAGCAGTCCTCCGGTGATGAGGAAGCCGCCACCCACGCCGAAAAAACCGGTCATGGTGCCGACGATCATTCCCAGCAGCGCCAGCAACAGGGGCGATACCGTGGCGTCGGCGATGGGGAAATGCACGCTAGTGTCTCCGACCGGTGTTGCCGTCGCTCGGTGAGCGCCTACGGGGACGGGCCAGCGCAACGCCACGGCCCACCAGATCCCAGAAGAAGTACAGTACGACTGCGGTAACCGCCATGGCGGCGATCACGCAGACCGCCCACAGTATCCTATGGCGGCTCAACTCCAGCAGGAAATCAAAAAACGCCTGGTGCATGGGTTGGCCTTATTGCCGGCAAGAGTTTTCATTGGGGTGGCAAAGATATGCCGTTGCTTGTGCTTCGTTGCCTTACGCAGGTGAGGCTTGTATGGATGACCACTCGTTTGCGTTGGCGGCAGAATAGCGCGTAGAGTAACCGGTATGACAGACCGACGGTTCGGTTTCCAGTTACTCTCGACCGATGGAACGGCCCGGCGCGGGCAGATTACCACGCCCCATGGGGAGGCGCAAACGCCCCTGTTCATGCCGGTGGCCACCCAGGCAACGGTGAAGGGGCTGACCTTCGATGAGGTCCGATGCCTGGGCGCGGAAACGGTGCTCAGCAACGCCTATCACCTGTACCTACGGCCGGGCGTCGAACGGGTGCGCGACGCCGGAGGGCTGCACCGCTTCATGGGCTGGGGCGGGCCGATCCTGACCGACAGCGGCGGCTACCAGGCATTCAGCATGGGCACGCTGCGTCGGGTGAACGACGACGGCATCGTGTTCCGCTCCCATATCGACGGGAGCGAGCACCGGTTCACGCCGGAGTCCGCGATAATCAACCAGCACGGTATCGGAGCGGACATCATCATGTGCTTCGACCAGTGCGTTTTTTCGGCCGGCGACCCTGCCGCGGTGAGAGAGGCGATGGAGCGCACCCACCGGTGGGCTCAGGCTTGCTACGACACCCATGCGCGGAGCGGTCAGAGCGGACGACAGGCCTTGTTCGGCATCGTGCAGGGCGGCACCGTGCCGGAACTGCGGCGGCAGTCGGCCCAATACATCACGGGCATACCATTCGACGGTTACGCCATCGGCGGCCTGGCGGTGGGCGAGACCAAGGCGGAGATGCACGACGTGACGGGGCTGGTCTGCGAGGGTCTGCCGACCGACCGACCGCGGTACCTGATGGGTGTGGGTTCCCCGGAAGACCTGGTGAACTCGGTGGCGCTGGGCGTCGACATGTTCGACTGCGTGCTGCCGACCCGGGTGGCCCGCAACGGCGCGCTGTTCACGCCCACGGGCCGGGTCAGCATCGCCAACCGGAGGTTCGCGGAACAGGACGCGCCGCTGGATGATACGTGCGACTGCTACGCCTGCGGGAACTACACCGCGGCGTACCTGCGCCATCTGTTCAAGGCTGGCGAGATGCTTGGCCCGCGGCTGGCGTCGATCCACAACCTGCGCTTCATACTGCGCCTGATGTCGGATATGCGGAGCGCGATAGCGGAGAGGCGATTTGCAGCTTTCCGGGCGAATTTCCTTGACACCTACCAACCCACGGACGAAGGGCGGCGTCAAGCCCAGAAGCACCGGTGGATCGAGGAACGAGGCGCCTGACATCCGGGATTTCCGTTCCCGCCCGGCATACGCGGCGATGGTGTCGGCGGAACGATGAGCGCTCCGCCAACGAGATCGCCGCGCTTCGCTCGCGATGACAGTTCAAGTGCACGCTGACGGTTTGGACGCCAGGTGACTATTTGAACGTGCGACGACGGGTCGAACACCGGACGACAGTTTGAATGCAAGTGGGTACGCGCGCAGCATTATCGAGGGTTGACAAACAATTGTGCCGGGCCTACGGTGATCCTAATAGTCCCGGCGTGAGAACCGAACTTATAGACACCGGTGGAGACGCTGTATCTCATGGTGGCCACGGACAACATATCAAGTGAAGCCACGGACACACTGATCTCCGACGGCCAGCCGTACATCCAGGTCAATTCAGTCTGGAAGGTGTTTGGCAGGAACCCGGAACGGGTACTGGAGCCGCAGCATTCGGAGCACGATAAATCCTTCTTCCAGACCGAGTTCGGCAACGTCATCGGCCTGCAGGACGTTTCCTTCCAGGTAAACCGGGGCGAAACATTCGTGATCATGGGGCTGTCGGGCAGCGGCAAATCCACGATGGTGCGCTGTCTGATCCGGCTGATTGAGCCCACCGCCGGCGAGATAATCATCGCGGGCGAGGACATCACCAAGATGTCCGAAAAGGAGCTGATCGAGTTCCGCCGTAACAAAGTCGCCATGGTGTTCCAGCACTACGGTCTGATGCCGCACCGCAAGGTGCTGGACAACGCGGGGTGGGGACTGGAGGTGCAGGGGGTCAAGAAGCCGGAGCGAGAAGCGCGCACCCGAGAGGTGCTGGAACTGGTCGGCCTGGGGGGCTGGGAAGAGTCGTACCCGCGCCAGCTATCCGGAGGCATGCAGCAAAGGGTTGGTTTGGCCCGCGCGCTGGCCGTGGACACCGACATCATGCTGATGGACGAGCCTTTCAGCGGGTTGGATCCGCTGATCCGCCGGCAGATGCAGGACGAGCTGCTCCGGCTACAAACGGAGTTGCACAAGACCATCGTATTCATCACGCACGACCTCAACGAGGCGCTGAAGCTGGGCGACCGGATCGCCATCATGCACGACGGCAAGGTGGCGCAGATCGGATCACCGGAGGACATCGTGCTGCGTCCCGAGGACGAGTACGTCGGCGACTTCACGCAGGACGTGCGCCTGGAGGCGATCCTGAATGCCGGTAAGGTCATGGTGACACCCAAGGCCACCGTGATGGGCCACCAGGGGCCACGGGCGGCGCTGCACACCATCGGCGACAGCGACGGCGACGCGGCCTGGGTGGTGGACCGAGGGCAGCACTACATCGGAATGCTGTCCATCAGCAACGCCGAGCGTGCGCTGCGCGCCGGGGTAAAGCGGTTTGACGAGGCGTGGGATTACGTGGACCGCGAATACCAGACGGTGGAGCCAACGACCTCCTTCGATGAACTGATCCCAATCGCCATGGGAAGCGATTTCCCGATTCCGGTTACCGATGAAAAGAACACGCTGGTCGGCGAGGTGCATCGGAGCGCGCTGGCTGAAGCACTGGCGGAAACGTCCACCGCAGATCAGGATTACGAAGCCAACGCCGCCGAGAACGCGGCGCTGGCCGGCGAAGCCGAAGTTACCTCGTAAACAGGTTTCCGGCGCCGCCGATCCGGGCGGCAGGTCTGGACCGGTCCGGCCGTCGCCACTATGGAGATGGATATGGCAGTCATCACGAGAGACGAGCCCGAATCGCGAACCACCCAGGGAACGCTGCCCGGCGCGACGCGAGGGGCAGAGTCGCCACGCTTTGCGTTGTCGGCGATTCCATCCCCTGTATATCTGGATAGCTGGAGTGGCCTCGGTAGTAGTGGTGCTGGCCTTATGCCTCGCCATCTGGGGCCCGGGGATGGATTTCCCGACCACCGTTGCCCAAGTGCAGTCCAGCGACGGATCGACGAGTTTCCCCAGGTCCCTGCGCGATGTCACCGGAGACGCGATAGATGGCGGACGAAGGTGCTGACCACCAACGGCCGCTGGCTGTTCGAAGGCATAAAGGACGGCATCACCTACGCGCTACTCTACATCGAGGGCGGTTTAAAATGGCTCCCGTGGCCGGCGGTGGTCCTGGGGTTGGTGCTGGCGGCATTCGCGGTGGGTCGTTGGGGGCTGATGGCCTTCGCGGGGTTCGCGTTCCTATTCATCGGATTCATGGGGCTGTGGGAACCCACGATGGACACGATCGCGCTGATGGTCGTGGCGGTGATCCTATCGGTTGGTATAGGTCTCCCGTTGGGAGTGGTGGGCGCTCGAAACCAGACCGCCGACCGCATCATGCGCCCGATCCTGGACGGGATGCAGACGATGCCCAGCTTTGTGTACCTGATCCCTGGAATACTGTTCTTTGGCCTGGGCAAACCGGCCGGTATCTTTGCCACCATCATCTACGCGGTGCCGCCGGTGATCAGGCTGACCAACCTGGGGATACGGCAGGTCTCGCCGGAGACGGTGGAAGCGGCCCGCTCCTTTGGAGCGTCTCCGCTGCAGATCCTGTCCAAGGTGCAGATACCCATGGCATTGCCCACCATAATGGCCGGCATCAACCAGACGACGATGATGGCATTGGCCATGGTAACCATAGCCAGCATGGTCGCGGCAGGGGGCCTGGGCGACAACGTCCTGCGGGCGATCCAGAAGAACGAGGTTGGCAATGGCGTGATCGCGGGTCTGTCCATTGTTTTCATGGCCATCGTGATCGACCGGCTGACGCAAGCGGTGGCGCGGAGCAGGCAGGAAGCTCTGCAGAGCGGCAATTAGCAATCGCATCGTAACCGATGGGCGGCCAACATGGTCGCCCATCACCTTTTTTGTATTACGATTGCGCAACTTTTTGGTACGTTTACAAATATTTATGTAATGCTCCATGTACTAAAACCGTCAGATTGACAGCGATAAACAACACTGCAATAATCGACGGCACTTAAATCGTCGCCCGGAACTCCCGGCAGATCACCCCGCACGGAGGAAAACATCTTGTTAACCAAGTACAGATTACTGGCTCTGACCATGGTATTGGCCGTGGTTACAGTCATCGTCATTGCCGCCTGCTCGCCGGCTGAACCACAGATCGTCGAAGTCACAAAGGTCGTGACCGAACGTCGAAGTCACAAAGGTCGTGACCGAACAGGTCGAAGTCGAAAAGATCGTGACTGAACAGGTCGAAGTCGAAAAGATCGTCGAAAAAGAAGTCGAAAAGATCGTGACGGAGCAAGTGGAAGTCACCCGTGTCGTTGAGGTGATGGCCCCTGAGGGACCTAAAGAAACGATCATTTTCGGTGACCTGAACTGGTCGAGCGCTCTGCTGCAAAACCGCATCGCGCAGTACATCGTCGAGAAGGGTTACGGCTATCCCACTGACGTCAAGTTCGGCGCGACCCTGCCCCTGTTCCAGGGGCTACAAAATGGCGACACCGACGTCACCATGGAAATCTGGTTGCCCAACCAGGACGAAGCCTGGAACGCCGCCCGTGAAAGAGGGCGCCGTGCTTTCCGTGGGCCAGAGCCTCGGTAAGGACTGGCAGTCTGCTTTCGTCATCCCGGCTTACCTGCAAGAGCAGTACCCGGACCTTGACAGCGTGGAAGACCTGAAGGAACAGCAGTACAAGGACCTGTTCAAGACCGCCGAAACTGGCGACAAGGCTCGCCTGGTATCGTGCATCATCGGTTGGGCCTGCGAGACCGTCAACGCGGCGCAGGTTGAGGGTTACGGCCTGTCGGACCATGTCGAAATCATCAACCCCGGCGATGGCGCCGCGCTCAACGCCGACCTGTACGGCTCCTACGAGCGCGAAGAGCCTTGGCTGGGTTACCAGTGGGGCACCAACGACCCGGCACTGAAGCTGGATCTGGTCCGCCTGGAAGAGCCAGCTTACAGCACTGAATGCTGGTTCACGACCAAAGCCTGCGCCTATGAGGACGCCACGATTTTGATCGCGGTGAACCCGGACCTGCCCGGTCGCGCGCCGGAAATCATCGAAATGCTGCGCAACTGGGACTTCAACATTGACATCTACAAGGCCGTCGTAAGGTGGCAGAGCGACAACCCGGACGCCAACGTGGACGCTACGGCGATCTGGTGGCTCAACAACAACGCCGACATCTGGAGCGGCTGGGTCACCGACGGGGCCTCTGAGGGTATCCAAGCCGCGCTGAGCGCTGGCGAAGAGGCTGACGGCTGGCCGACCGAGTAACCTCACTCAGTTCGTCTACCCGTGATCGCGAGGCGGCTTCCTAACGGGAGCCGCCTCCTTTTCTGCTACAATGCAGCCGCTTTCGGGCCGCGATTTTCACCCGCCAGGACACCACCTCAATGACCACTGCCCCTGCCCCAGCCGTCGTAACCGATGCAACCCTGGCCGCTCTCAAGGCCATTCCCACCCAGACCTTAATCGACGGCCTGTGGGTGATGGGCTGGCCCATGAGCATGATCGAGGGGGCCAAGCCATTGCAGCCGGGTCAACACATGGCCGGCCGCGCGGTGACCCTGCGGTTCGTTCCGCACCGGCCGGACCTGGCGGCAGACAAGCCCAAGGGTTCCGACTCGGCCGAGTACGTGGCCTTCGAGCTTTGCGGACCCGGCGAGGCGCTGGTGATTGACGCCATGCGCTGGCCGTACAGCAGCATCGGCGGGGACATCAAGTTCTATCGCCTCTACCAGCGCGGCGTGGGCGGCCTGGTGACCGACGGCGCGGTGCGGGACACCAACACGCTGAAAGAGTACGGTTTTCCAGTGTACTCGGCTAACGCTACGGCCAAGCAGGGTCCGGCCGAATTCTGGCCCTGGCAGGTCAATGATTACATCCAGTGCGGCGGCGTGCTGGTGCGTCCGGGCGACGCCATCGTGGGCGACGACGATGGCGTGGTCGTGGTGCCGGCGGCAGCCGCTGACGAGGTGATACGGATCGCCCACCAACGGGAAGAGGTGGAGGCGGTCATCAAGGCGCAGCTGGAGATCGAACAGTGCTCGCCCGGCAAGTACTACCCGTTCAACGACAACACCTGGAAACTGTTTGAAGAGAAGACGGGAAAGAAGCCCTATCGCTAGAGCATTCCGATTGCGCCACAATCGCAAGAACCCAACCGACACAACCTCGCACAAGGAGACGTCACCATGGCCCGACTACCCCTAGCGTCCCGTGACACCACCCCGGCCGGCCAGGAGGCCGCCTTCGACGAAATCACCCAGAACGGGACGGCGGTTCCTCCGTACGGCCCGGGATCGGTGATGACGCACGTGCCGGAGGCCAGCAAGCACGCGACCGGCCTCAACCAGTACCTGCGCAACCATTCGAGTCTGCCCTTGAAGGCAGCCGAACTGGCGATGCTGGTGGCGGCCCGAGAAATGGACTGCCAGCACATCTGGAACGCCCACGCGGCCTCGGCGCGGGATGCCGGCGTGTCCGCCGCCGTGGTGGATGCCATCCGGGACAAGACGGCGTTGCCGGCGCTGGCGCCCGATGAGTCGGCGGTGATCAACCTGGGGCGTGAGATCCTGCGGAACCACCAAGTGAGCCGGGGAGGCTACCAGAGCGCCTTGGAAATCTTCGGGCAGCAGGGGACCATCGAACTGACCTTGGTGCTGGGGAACTACACCATGCTGGCATTGGTAATCAACACCTTCGAGACCGACCTGCCTCCGAACCGAACGGAGCCGCTGCTACAGCGGGCAGCCGGTTAGCGACAAAGGTAGGGGCGAATGATCATTCGCCCCTACGAGTTTTTGTGGTAGATCTGGACCCGGTGGCGGCAGGAGTCGACGACGTAAATGCGGCCTTCGGCGTCCAGGTTGACCGAGGTCGGCCCCCAGAAGAATTTTTCCACGCCGGCCGAGGTTTCCCGGTGGTGATCCCGCCACGGGTTGACGGCCGGGGCCAATTCAGCGGCGCGGCGGGCAGCAGACTCGTCGGGGTTGGCGGCCAGATAGTCCTCGGCCCAGGAAGACGTGGTCGCGTCGCCGCGCAGGATTGCGGCCACCTCGCCGTCCGGCGCGAAAATCTGCACGCGCTCGTTGCCCCAGTCGGCAACGTAGATGTAGCCTTCCCCGTCCACGGCCACGGACGAAGGGCGGTTCAGCTGGCCCTTTGCATCGCCTGACACGCCCCACTGGCCGACGAAGCGACCGTCGGGGGTGAACGCCTGCACGCGGTCGTTGCGCCAGTCGGCGACGAAGACGTTGCCGTCGGCGTCGCAGGCCAGTCGCCAGGGGGTGTTGAACTGGCCGGCCTGCGCGCCGTAGCCGCCCCATCCG